TTAATGGAATGCTTTCTTCTGGATGTTGGGCCTTTTCGACATTCATGTGTTCGATTTTTAACGGTATTAACTTTTTAGGTTGTCGTTTTTCTTTTTCTTTTTCTTCGGGTTCATTTTCTTGATCATTCGATGTTTTTGTTGTGAGGACATCGTCTGCAGTCTTTTTGGCGTCTGTAATCATAAAAATGATGTTGAATATCAAAGCATATTTAATAATGTATGAAGTTGCTTAAGATAAAAGGAAACATCATATCAATTTCTCAGTTCTTTTTATCGAACCAAATTAAAATGCATAGCTTATAAAAATCACAATATCTGAAATACCCCAGACGGTGCTTTTAGTAAAGCTTACACTATTTCTACCTGTCAGGTTTCCTTAGCTTTATAACAAGGTTGGCTTCGGCGTCGGGGGTCGTGGCTTCGATTCCCACACGCGACAACTATTTATGTGACCCACAGATAGTTGTTTCGCATTTGGGTGTTTGTCCACGTGAAATTTGTTTGTAAAACGTCCTTACAACACCGGACAATGTTATCCTAAAGTAAGGGCAAAGTTTAAAAAAAAAGGAAAAGGTCTCTTTTACTTACGCGACCGAACAATGGTTAGAATTTCATTGATCCGATCTAGCGTAAAGGGTAGACTTGATAGATTTTATTTTCTTTTCGGAACAATAATTTATTACAATGACAATTAAATTGTCGTTTTCTTAATTTAATTACACATTTTATATTCTTTTTTATTTATTAATTGAAAACTAAATTAAAAACTTTCAAATTATACTAGGTTTACTGATCGCCATAACTGGCGGATATAAAAAAAGATAATGTATTAAATTAATTATGTTGAACATAATTTTATTTAATTACTATAAAAAATGTTAAACAATTTTACTGTAGAATATTAAAAGACATCTTAATAAATATAGATTTACTGTTCCTGATATTTGTGGCATATGAATGAAAAAATAAAAATGAAGGTATAAAGATGTTATAAACTATATTTACAAATAAAAAAAATATATATTACAAATATATATAAAACTCTTAGTTTTACTAAGTTACATTTTAAACATGATGCGATGATAGTAGGTTTTCTTGATAAACAAAAAATAGTTTAACATAACATTTGGTGCTGTATGATATTAACAAGTATCAGTTAGGTCTGCCTTACAATTATTTATAAAGATTTCAAAACTCTTTGTTGTAACTTGAAGACAGTGGTCATGCAATAATTCGTTGACATTATCGTCAGTGATGTGTAATTACAGTACTTGGTTGTTGTTGTGAAATCGTTGAGTGTAACTGAGATTTTGAGACCTATTTACCTGTGAATAACCCATTTAGTGACTTTATTTTGTTTACCCTTACCATCATTCGACAGAATTTGCACCACGAGCGTCCTCTTTGGACATTCAATCACTTCATCCTCTTCAACCCAAGATTTCTCATTGATGACGTCACAGCTGGTGACAGATTCTTCGTCCTTGTTTTCCTTACTTGTAATCTCAGCAACTTCCAGTTTAAAACCTCTTCGCTTCTTGACTTCTCGTTTGATCGGTTTCAATTGATCTGTGTCACCCCTTTTAGTTTCAACATGTTCCTCCTTCAATCCTCGAGGTTCCTCTTCAATAACGATAGCTTTTTGCGATTCCAGTAAATCGTCTAATATAGTGACTACTTGTTCATCGTTGTGCTTTGTAGTGGTGATGTACGTAGTTTCTATTTTTGGACTTACCTGCTTCTTAATGATATGTTTAGTGACTTTCTTTTGCATAGGCTTACCATCGTCCGAAGTGACTTTCTCAACGGTTGTCTCCTCAGGAATTTCTACGAGTACGTACTTTTCTAACGGGGTTTCCACTTTGACAGTGACGATTGCGACGGGTTCTTCGCCCTCCTTTTCCACAGGTGTGAGCTCAATGACTTCTTGTTTAGGACTTCTTAGCTTCTTAATTAATCGCTTGATTGTCTTCACCTGTGGAACTTCACCAGTTTCTGCTTTAACCTGTTCGACCTTCACTTCTTCAGATTTTTTTTCGATTAGGTTGGCTGTTTGTGGTTGTAGTATGCCGACTAGTGCGTTGGTAGTGTCGTCGAGTGTTTGTTCTGTTGTGTAAATAGTTGTGATTGGTTGTTCGTCGTCGTGTTGTGTAGTGGAAATGTGTGTAATTTCTCTTTTGGGACCTACCTGCTTCTTTATGGTACTTTTAGTTACTTTCTTTTGCATAAGATTACCATCGTCCGCGGACACTTCCTCTCCGGTTGTCTTCTCAGGAATTTCTACGAGTTTGTCCTTTTCAGTAGGGGTTTCCTCTTCGACAATAACGGTTGTGACAGGTTCTTCACCCTCCTTTTCCACAGTTGTTATCTCAGTGACTTTTTCTTTTGGAACTCTTTTCTTCTTAAATACTCGCCTGATTGTCTTCATCTGTGTTACTTCACTAGTTTCTGCTTTCACCTGCTCAACCTTCAGTTCTTCGGGTTTTTCCGTGAGAAAAGTGGCTGTTTGTGGTTCAAGTAATTTGTCAAGTGAAGTGTGAGTGTCGTCGAATGTCTCCTCTGTTTTGTGAACAGTTGTAATTGGTTGTTCATTGTCTTGTTGTGTGATGGTAATGTGTGTAGTTTCAATTTTAGGACCTACCTTATTTTTGATGACACGTGTTGTAACTTTCTTTTGCTTTGGCTTACCGTCATTCGAAGTAATTTCTTCGACGGGTGTCTCTTCAGGAAGTTCTACGAGTTCATTCTTTTCAAAAGGGGTTTCTTCTTTGATGGTGACGGTTGTGACTGGTTCTTCGCCTTCCTTTTCCACAGTTGTGATCTCAGTAACTTCTTCGTTGAGACCTCTTTTCTTCTTAATTACACGCCTTACCGTCTTCACTTCTGTAACTTCACCAGTCTCTGCTTGCACTTGCTCAATCTTCACTTCTTCGGGTTCTTCCGTGAGAAAAGTGGCTGTTTGTGGTTCAAGTAATTTGTCAAGTGAAGTGTGAGTGTCGTCGAGGGATTCCTCTGTTTTGTGAACAGTTGTAATTGGTTGTTCATTGTCTTGTTGTGTGATGGTAATGTGTGTAGTTTCAATTTTAGGACCTACCTTATTTTTGATGACACGTGTTGTACCTTTCTTTTGCTTTGGCTTACCGTCATTCGAAGTAACTTCTTCCACGGATGTCTCCTCAGGAAGTTCTACGAGTTCATTCTTTTCAATAGGGGTTTCCTCTTTGATGGTGACGGTTGTGACTGGTTCCTCGCCTTCCTTTTCCACAGTTGTGATCTCAGTAACTTCTTCGTTGGGACCTCTTTTCTTCTTAATTACACGCCTTGCCGTCTTCAACTGTGTTACTTCACGAGTTTCTGCTTTCACCTGCTCAACCTTCACTTCTTCAGGTTCTTCTATGAGTAGAGTGGCTATTTGTGGTTTTAGTAATTTGTCAAGTGAAGTGTGAGTGTCGTCGAGGGTTTCCTCTGTTTTGTGAGTAGTTGTGACTGTTTGTTCGTTGTCTTGTTGTGTGGTGGTAATGTGTATAGAATCTATTTTCGGACCTACCTTCTTTTTGATGACACGTTTTGAGACTTTTTTCTGCTTTGGCTTACCTTCATCCGAAGTAAATTCTTCCACTACCGTCTCCTCTGGTAGCTCAACTATTTCGTCAAATTCAATAGGTGTTTCCTCTTTGACGGTGACGGTTGTCACTGGTTCCTCGTCTTCCTTTTCCACAGTTGTGATCTCAGTCACTTCTTCTTTGGGACCTCTTTTCTTCTTAATTACCCGTCTTACCGTCTTCACCTGTGTAACTTCACCAGTCTCTGCTTGCAATTTCTCCATCTTCATTTCTTCGGGTTCTTCCGTGTGTAAAGTGGCTATTTGTGGTTCTAGTAATTTGTCAAGTGAAGTGTGAGTGTCATCGAGGGTTTCCTCTGTTTTGTGAACAGTTGTGACTGGTTCGTTTGTTGTTTTGTTGTGTGGTGATAATGTGTGTAGTTTCTATTATCGGACCTACCTTCTTTTTGATGACACGTGTTGTAACTTTCATTGGCTTTGGCTTACCGTCATCCGAAGTAAATTCTTCCACTACCGTCTCCTCTGGTAGCTCAACCAGTTCGTCCACTTCAATAGCTGTTTCCTCTTTGACGGTGACGGTTGTCACTGGTTCCTCGCCTTCCTTTTCCACAGTTGTGATCTCAGTTACTTCTTGTTTTGGACCTCTTTTCTTCTTAATTATTCGCCTGACCGTCTTCAATTGTATAGCTTCACCAGTTTCTGCTTGCACTTGCTCAACCTTCACTTCTTCAGGTTCTTCCGTGAGTAGAGTGGCTTTTTGTGGTACTAGTAAGTTTTTAAGTGAAGATTGAGTGTCGTCGAGGGTTTCCTCTGTTTTTTGAACAGTTGTAACTGGTTGTTCGTTGTCTTGTTGTGTGGTGATAATGTGTGTAGTTTCGATTTTCGGACCTACCTTCTTTTTGATGACACGTTTTGTTACTTTCTTTTGCTTAGGCTTACCATCGTCCGAAATAACTTCCTCCGCCGTCGTCTCTTCTGGAAGTTCTACGAGTTCGTCCTTTTCAATTGGGGTTTCCTCTTTGTCGGTTACGGTTGTGACTGGTTCTTTGCCCTCCTTTTCCACAGTCGTTATCTCAGTGACCTTTTGTTTAGGACCTTTTTTCTTCTTAATTACACGTCTAACCGTCTTCACTTGTGTTATTTCACCAGTTTCTGCTTTTACCTGTTCGACCTTCACTTCTTCGGGTTCGTCCTCGACGATACTCGCTGTTTCCGGTGCTTGTAGGTCTTCAATGGGGGTAGAAGTGTCATCAATAATTTCCTCTGTTTTGTAAACAGTTGTGACTGGTTGTTCGTTGTCTTGTTGTGTGGTGGTAATGTGTGTAGTTTCGATTTTTGGACCTACCTTCTTTTTGATGACACGTTTTGTTACTTTCTTTTGCTTAGGCTTACCATCGTCCGAAGTAACTTCCTCCACGGTCATCTTCTGGAAGTTCTACGAGTTCCTCCTTTTCAAGGTTGGGGTTTCCTCCTTGACAGTTACGGTTGTGACTGGTTCTTCGCCCTCCTTTTCCACAGTTGTTATCTCAGTGACTTCTTGTTTAGGACCTCTTTTCTTCTTAATTACTCGTCTAACCGTCTTCACTTGTGTTATTTCACCAGTTTCTGCTATTACCTGTTCGACCTTCACTTCTTCGGGTTCCTCCTCGACGATACTCGCTGTTTCCGGTGCTTGTAGGTCATCAATGGGGGGGGGAGTAGTGTCATCAATGATTTCCTCTGTTTTGTGAACAGTTGTGACTGGTTGTTCGTTGTCTTGTTGTGTGGTGGTAATGTGTGTAGTTTCGATTTTTGGACCTACCTTCTTTTTGATGACACGTTTTGTCACTTTCTTTTGCTTAGGCTTACCATCGTCGGAAGTAATTTCCTCCACGGTCGTCTCTTCTGGAAGTTCTTCGAGTTCGTCCTTTTCAATTGGGGTTTCCTCCTTGACAGTTACGGTTGTGACTGGTTCTTCGCCCTCCTTTTCCACAGTTGTTATCTCAGTGACTTCTTGTTTAGGACCTCTTTTCTTCTTAATTACTCGTCTAACCGTCTTCACTTGTGTTATTTCACCGGTTTCTGCTTTTACCTGTTCGACTTTAACTTCTTCGGGTTCCTCCTCGACGATACTCGCTGTTTCCGGTGCTTGTAGGTCTTCAATGGGGGTAGTAGTGTCATCAATGATTTCCTCTGTTTTGTGAACAGTTGTGACTGGTTGTTCGTTGTCTTGTTGTGTGGTGGTAATGTGTGTAGTTTCGATTTTTGGACCTACCTTCTTTTTGATGACACGTTTTGTTACTTTCTTTTGCTTAGGCTTACCATCGTCCGAAGTAACTTCCTCCACGGTCGTCTCTTCTGGAAGTTCTACGAGTTCGTCCTTTTCAATTGGGGTTTCCTCTTTGACAGTTACGGTTGTGACTGGTTCTTCGCCCTCCTTTTCCACAGTTGTTATCTCAGTGACTTCTTGTTTAGGACCACTTTTCTTCTTAATTACTCGTCTAACCGTCTTCACTTGTCTTATTTCACCAGTTTCTGCTTGCACTTGCTCAACCTTCACTTCTTCGGGTTCTTCTGTGAGTAGAGTGGCTGTTTGTGGTGCTAGTAAGTTGTCAAGTGAAGTGTACGTGTCGTCGAGGGTTTCCTCTGTTTTATGAACAGTTGTGACTGGTTGTTCGTTGTCTTGTTGTGTGGTGGTAATGTGTGTAGTTTCGATTTTTGGACCTACCTTCTTTTTGATGACACGTTTTGTTACTTTCTTTTGCTTAGGCTTACCATCGTCCGAATAACTTCCTCCTTCGTCGTCTCTTCTGGAAGTTCTACGAGTTCGTCCTTTTCAATTGGGGTTTCCTCCTTGACAGTTACGGTTGTGACTGGTTCTTCGCCCTCCTTTTCCACAGTTGTTATCTCAGTGACTTCTTGTTTAGGACCTCTTTTCTTCTTAATTACTCGTCTAACCGTCTTCACTTGTGTTATTTCACCGGTTTCTGCTTTTACCTGTTCGACTTTAACTTCTTCGGGTTCCTCCTCGACGATACTCGCTGTTTCCGGTGCTTGTAGGTCTTCAATGGGGGTAGTAGTGTCATCAATGATTTCCTCTGTTTTGTGAACAGTTGTGACTGGTTGTTCGTTGTCTTGTTGTGTGGTGGTAATGTGTGTAGTTTCGATTTTCGGACCTACCTTCTTTTTGATGACACGTTTTGTTACTTTCTTTTGCTTAGGCTTACCATCGTCCGAAGTAACTTCCTCCACGGTCGTCTCTTCTGGAAGTTCTACGAGTTCGTCCTTTTCAATTGGGGTTTCCTCCTTGACAGTTACGGTTGTGACTGGTTCTTCGCCCTCCTTTTCCACAGTTGTTATCTCAGTGACTTCTTGTTTAGGACCTCTTTTCTTCTTAATTACTCGTCTAACCGTCTTCACTTGTGTTATTTCACCGGTTTCTGCTTTTACCTGTTCGACTTTAACTTCTTCGGGTTCCTCCTCGACGATACTCGCTGTTTCCGGTGCTTGTAGGTCTTCAATGGGGGTAGTAGTGTCATCAATGATTTCCTCTGTTTTGTGAACAGTTGTGACTGGTTGTTCGTTGTCTTGTTGTGTGGTGGTAATGTGTGTAGTTTCGATTTTCGGACCTACCTTCTTTTTGATGACACGTTTTGTTACTTTCTTTTGCTTAGGCTTACCATCGTCCGAAGTAACTTCCTCCACGGTCGTCTCTTCTGGAAGTTCTACGAGTTCCTCCTTTTCAATTGGGGTTTCCTCCTTGACAGTTACGGTTGTGACTGGTTCTTCGCCCTCCTTTTCCACAGTTGTTATCTCAGTGACTTCTTGTTTAGGACCTCTTTTCTTCTTAATTACTCGTCTAACCGTCTTCACTTGTGTTATTTCACCAGTTTCTGCTTTGCACCTGTTCGACCTTCACTTCTTCGGGTTCTCTCGACGATACTCGCTGTTTCCGGTGCTTGTAGGGTTGTCAATGTGAAGTGTAGTGTCATCATCAATGATTTCCTCTGTTTTGTGAACAGTTGTGACTGGTTGTTCGTTGTCTTGTTGTGTGGTGGTAATGTGTGTAGTTTCGATTTTTGGACCTACCTTCTTTTTGATGACACGTTTTGTTACTTTCTTTTGCTTAGGCTTACCATCGTCCGAAGTAACTTCCTCCACGGTCGTCTCTTCTGGAAGTTCTACGAGTTCGTCCTTTTCAATTGGGGTTTCCTCCTTGACAGTTACGGTTGTGACTGGTTCTTCGCCCTCCTTTTCCACAGTTGTTATCTCAGTGACTTCTTGTTTAGGACCTCTTTTCTTCTTAATTACTCGTCTAACCGTCTTCACTTGTGTTATTTCACCGGTTTCTGCTTTTACCTGTTCGACTTTAACTTCTTCGGGTTCCTCCTCGACGATACTCGCTGTTTCCGGTGCTTGTAGGTCTTCAATGGGGGTAGTAGTGTCATCAATGATTTCCTCTGTTTTGTGAACAGTTGTGACTGGTTGTTCGTTGTCTTGTTGTGTGGTGGTAATGTGTGTAGTTTCGATTTTCGGACCTACCTTCTTTTTGATGACACGTTTTGTTACTTTCTTTTGCTTAGGCTTACCATCGTCCGAAGTAACTTCCTCCACGGTCGTCTCTTCTGGAAGTTCTACGAGTTCCTCCTTTTCAATTGGGGTTTCCTCCTTGACAGTTACGGTTGTGACTGGTTCTTCGCCCTCCTTTTCCACAGTTGTTATCTCAGTGACTTCTTGTTTAGGACCTCTTTTCTTCTTAATTACTCGTCTAACCGTCTTCACTTGTGTTATTTCACCAGTTTCTGCTTTTACTTGTTCGATTTTCACTTCTTCGGGTTCTCCTCGACGATACTCGCTGTTTCCGGTGCTTGTAGGTGTCAATGGGGGTAGTAGTGTCATCGTTTTGTGAACAGTTGTGACTGGTTGTTCGTTGTCTTGTTGTGTGGTGGTAATGTGTGTAGTTTCGATTTTTGGACCTACCTTCTTTTTGATGACACGTTTTGTTACTTTCTTTTGCTTAGGCTTACCATCGTCCGAAATAACTTCCTCCGCCGTCGTCTCTTCTGGAAGTTCTACGAGTTCTCCTTTTCAATTGGGGTTTCCTCCTTGACAGTTACGGTTGTGACTGGTTCTTCGCCCTCCTTTTCCACAGTTGTTATCTCAGTGACTTCTTGTTTAGGACCACTTTTTCTTCTTAATTACTCGTCTAACCGTCTTCACTTGTGTTATTTCACCGGTTAATGCTTTTACCTGTTCGACCTTCACTTCTTCGGGTTCCTCCTCGACGATACTCGCTGTTTCCGGTGCTTGTAGGTCTTCAATGGGGGTAGTAGTGTCATCAATGATTTCCTCTGTTTTGTGAACAGTTGTGACTGGTTGTTCGTTGTCTTTTTGTGTGGTGGTAATGTGTGTAGTTTCGATTTTTGGACCTACCTTCTTTTTGATGACACGTTTTGTTACTTTCTTTTGCTTAGGCTTACCATCGTCCGAAGTAACTTCCTCCACGGTCGTCTCTTCTGGAAGTTCTACGAGTTCCTCCTTTTCAATTGGGGTTTCCTCCTTGACAGTTACGGTTGTGACTGGTTCTTCGCCCTCCTTTTCCACAGTTGTTATCTCAGTGACTTCTTGTTTAGGACCTCTTTTCTTCTTAATTACTCGTCTAACCGTCTTCACTTGTGTTATTTCACCAGTTTCTGCTTTTCACCTGTTCGACCTTCACTTCTTCGGGTTCTTCCTCGACGATACTCGCTGTTTCCGGTGCTTGTAGGTCATCAATGGGGGTAGTAGTGTCATCAATGATTTCCTCTGTTTTGTGAACAGTTGTGACTGGTTGTTCGTTGTCTTGTTGTGTGTGGTGGTAATGTGTGTAGTTTCGATTTTTGGACCTACCTTCTTTTTGATGACACGTTTTGTTATTTTCTTTTGCTTAGGCTTACCATCGTCCGAAATAACTTCCTCCACGGTCGTCTCTTCTGGAAGTTCTACGAGTTCGTCCTTTTCAATTGGGGTTTCCTCCTTGACAGTTACGGTTGTGACTGGTTCTTCGCCCTCCTTTTCCACAGTTGTTATCTCAGTGACTTCTTGTTTAGGACCTCTTTTCTTCTTAATTACTCGTCTAACCGTCTTCACTTGTGTTATTTCACCAGTTTCTGCTTTCACCTGTTCGACCTTCACTTCTTCGGGTTCCTCCTCGACGATACTCGCTGTTTCCGGTGCTTGTAGGTCATCAATGGGGGTAGTAGTAGTGTCATCAATGATTTCCTCTGTTTTGTGAACAGTTGTGACTGGTTGTTCGTTGTCTTGGTTGTGTGGTGGTGGTAATGTGTGTAGTTTCGATTTTTGGACCTACCTTCTTTTTGATGACACGTTTTGTTACTTTCTTTTGCTTAGGCTTACCATCGTCCGAAGTAACTTCCTCCACGGTCGTCTCTTCTGGAAGTTCTACGAGTTCGTCCTTTTCAATTGGGGTTTCCTCCTTGACAGTTACGGTTGTGACTGGTTCTTCGCCCTCCTTTTCCACAGTTGTTATCTCAGTGACTTCTTGTTTAGGACCTCTTTTCTTCTTAATTACGCGTCTAACCGTCTTCACTTTTGTTATTTCACCAGTTTCCGCTTTTACCTGTTCGACCTTCACTTCTTCGGGTTCCTCCTCGACGATACTCGCTGTTTCCGGTGCTTGTAGGTCTTCAATGGGGGTAGTAGTGTCATCAATGATTTCCTCTGTTTTGTGAACAGTTGTGACTGGTTGTTCGTTGTCTTGTTGTGTGGTGGTAATGTGTGTAGTTTCGATTTTCGGACCTACCTTCTTTTTGATGACACGTTTTGTTACTTTCTTTTGCTTAGGCTTACCATCGTCCGAAGTAACTTCCTCCACGGTCGTCTCTTCTGGAAGTTCTACGAGTTCCTCCTTTTCAATTGGGGTTTCCTCCTTGACAGTTACGGTTGTGACTGGTTCTTCGCCCTCCTTTTCCACAGTTGTTATCTCAGTGACTTCTTGTTTAGGACCTCTTTTCTTCTTAATTACTCGTCTAACCGTCTTCACTTTTGTTATTTCACCAGTTTTCGCTTTTACCTGTTCGACCTTCACTTCTTCGGGTTCCTCCTCGACGATACTCGCTGTTTCCGGTGCTTGTAGGTCATCAATGGGGGTAGTAGTGTCATCAATGATTTCCTCTGTTTTGTGAACAGTTGTGACTGGTTGTTCGTTGTCTTGTTGTGTGGTGGTAATGTGTGTAGTTTCGATTTTCGGACCTACCTTCTTTTTGATGACACGTTTTGTTACTTTCTTTTGCTTAGGCTTACCATCGTCCGAAGTAACTTCCTCCACGGTCGTCTCTTCTGGAAGTTCTACGAGTTCGTCCTTTTCAATTGGGGTTTCCTCTTGACAGTTACGGTTGTGACTGGTTCTTCGCCCTCCTTTTCCACAGTTGTTATCTCAGTGACTTCTTGTTTAGGACCTCTTTTCTTCTTAATTACTCGTCTAACCGTCTTCACTTGTGTTATTTCACCAGTTTCTGCTTTCACCTGTTCGACCTTCACTTCTTCGGGTTCCTCCTCGACGATACTCGCTGTTTCCGGTGCTTGTAGGTCATCAATGGGGGTAGTAGTGTCATCAATGATTTCCTCTGTTTTGTGAACAGTTGTGACTGGTTGTTCGTTGTCTTGTTGTGTGTGGTGGTAATGTGTGTAGTTTCGATTTTCGGACCTACCTTCTTTTTGATGACACGTTTGTGACACGTTTTGTTACTTTCTTTTGCTTAGGCTTACCATCGTCCGAAGTAACTTCCTCCACGGTCGTCTCTTCTGGAAGTTCTACGAGTTCGTCCTTTTCAATTGGGGTTTCCTCTTTGACAGTTACGGTTGTGACTGGTTCTTCGCCCTCCTTTTCCACAGTTGTTATCTCAGTGACTTCTTGTTTAGGACCTCTTTTCTTCTTAATTACTCGTCTAACCGTCTTCACTTGTGTTATTTCACCAGTTTCTGCTTGCACTTGCTCGACCTTCACTTCTTCGGGTTCTTCCTCTACGACGTTCGCTGTTTCCGGTGCTTGTAGGTCATCAATGGGAGTAGTAGTGTCATCAATGATTTCCTCTGTTTTGTGAACAGTTGTGACTGGTTGTTCGTTGTCTTGTTGTGTGGTGGTAATGTGTGTAGTTTCGATTTTCGGACCTACCTTCTTTTTGATGACACGTTTTGTTACTTTCTTTTGCTTAGGCTTACCATCGTCCGAAGTAACTTCCTCCACGGTCGTCTCTTCTGGAAGTTCTACGAGTTCCTCGACCTTTTCAATTGGGGTTCCTCCTTGACAGTTACGGTTGTGACTGGTTCTTCGCCCTCCTTTTCCACAGTTGTTATCTCAGTGACTTCTTGTTTAGGACCTCTTTTCTTCTTAATTACGCGTCTAACCGTCTTCACTTTTGTTATTTCACCAGTTTCCGCTTTTACCTGTTCGACCTTCACTTCTTCGGGTTCCTCCTCGACGATACTCGCTGTTTCCGGTGCTTGTAGGTCATCAATGGGGGGGGTAGTAGTGTCATCGATGATTTCCTCTGTTTTGTGAACAGTTGTGACTGGTTGTTCGTTGTCTTGTTGTGTGGTGGTAATGTGTGTAGTTTCGATTTTCGGACCTACCTTCTTTTTGATGACACGTTTTGTTACTTTCTTTTGCTTAGGCTTACCATCGTCCGAAGTAACTTCCTCCACGGTCGTCTCTTCTGGAAGTTCTACGAGTTCCTCCTTTTCAATTGGGGTTTCCTCTTTGACAGTAACGGTTGTGACTGGTTCTTCGCCCTCTTTTTCCACAGTTGTTATCTCTGTGACTTCTTGTTTAGGACCTCTTTTCTTCTTTATTACTCGTCTAACCGTCTTCACTTGTGTTATTTCACCAGTTTCTGCTTTCACCTGTTCGACCTTCACTTCTTCGGGTTCTTCCTCGACGACATTCGCTGTTTCCGGTGCTTGTAGGTCATCAATGGGAGTAGTGGTGTCATCAATGATTTCCTCTGTTTTGTGAACAGTTGTGACTGGTTGTTCGTTGTCTTGTTGTGTGGTGGTAATGTGTGTAGTTTCGATTTTTGGACCTACCTTCTTTTTGATGACACGTTTTGTTACTTTCTTTTGCTTAGGCTTACCATCGTCCGAAGTAACTTCCTCCACGGTCGTCTCTTCTGGAAGTTCTACGAGTTCGTCCTTTTCAATCGGGGTTTCCTCTTTGACAGTGACGGTTGTGACAGGTTTTTCGCCCTCCTTTTCCACAGTTGTTATCTCAGTGACTTCTTGTTTAGGACCTCTTTTCTTCTTAATTACTCGTCTAACCGTCTTCACTTTCGATATTTCACCAGTTTCTGATTTCACCTGTTCGACCTTCACTACTTCAGGTTCTTCCTCAACGATACTCGCTGTTTCCGGTACCTGCAGATCATCAATGGGGGTAGTAGTGTCATCAATGATTTCCTCTGTTTTGTGAACAGTGGTCACTGGTTGTTCATTGTCTTGTTGTGTGGTGGTAATGTGTGTAGTTTCGATTTCGGACCTACCTTCTTTTTGATGACACGTTTTGTTACTTTCTTTTGCTTAGGCTTACGTCATCGTCCGAAGTTAACTTCCTCCACGGTCGTCTCTTCTGGAAGTTCTACGAGTTCGGCCTTTTCAATCGGGGTTTCCTCTTTGACAGTGACGGTTGTGACAGGTTCTTCGCCCTCCTTTTCCACAGTTGTTATCTCAGTGACTTCTTGTTTAGGCCCTCGTTTCTTCTTTATTACTCGTCTCAACGTCTTCACTTGTGTTATTTCACCAGTTTCTGCTTTCACCTCTTCGATCTTCACTTCTTCGGGTTCTTCCTCAACGATACTCGCTGTTTCCGGTGCTTGTAGGTCAGCAATGGGGGTAGTAGTGTCATCAATGATTTCATCTGTTTTGTGAACAGTTGTGACTGGTTGTTCGTTGTCTTGTTGTGTGGTGGTAATGTGTGTAGTTTCAATTTTCGGGCCTATCTTCTTTTTGATGACACGTTTTGTTACTTTCTTTTGCTTAGGCTTACCATCGTCCGAAGTAACTTCCTCCACGGTCGTCTCTTCTGGAAGGTCTACGAGTTCGTCCTTTTCAATTGGGGTTTCCTCTTTGACAGTAACGGTTGTGACTGGTTCTTCGCCCTCCTTTTCCACAGTTGTTATCTCAGTGACTTCTTGTTTAGGACCTCTTTTCTTCTTAATTACTCGTCTAACCGTCTTCACTTTTGTTATTTCACCAGTTTCCGCTTTTACCTGTTCGATCTTCACTTCTTCGGGTTCCTCCTCGACGATACTCACTGTTTCCGGTGTTTGTAGGTCATCATTGGGGGTAATAGTGTCATCGATGATTTCCTCTGTTTTGTGAACAGTTGTGACTGGTTGTTCGTTGTCTTTTTGTGTTGTGGTAATGTGTGTTGTTTCGATGTTTTGGCCTATTTTATTTTTGATGACACGTTTAGTGGTTTTCTTTTGCTTAGGCTTCTCATCATCCGAAGTTACTTCCTCCACGGTCGTCTCATCTGGAAGTTCTACAAGTTCGTCCTTTTCAATTGGGGTTTCCTCCTTGGCAGTGACGGTTGTGACTGGCTCTTCGCCCTCCTTTTTCACTGTTATTTGCTCAGTGACAACTTGCTTTGCACCTTTTTTCTGTTTCATTACTCGTTTGACCGTCTTCACTTTCATTATTTCTCCACTTTCGGTTTTCACCTCATCGACTTTTACTTCTTCAGTTTTTTTGTCGATAACACTATCTTTCTCTGGTTCTCCTAAACAACCCAGTACAGTTGTTGTGTCGTCTAGTATATCCTCTGTTTTGTGTATAGTTGTAACTGGATGCTTGTCCTTTGTATCGATATCTTCACATACAACTTGTTCCTCGGGAGTTATAGTTTCCAACTCGACTTCACCTTTCAGTTCTTCTATATGTACATGTGATCTTAGCTTTGGTATCTGAAATGTTTCTTCAGGTAATTCTATTGTGCTTTTATCCGTTCCTGTCTCAAGTGGCATGTCATCACCTTCATATTCTTCTATCTTTACATTATGATCCATTTCTCGTATACATTTTGTTTGCTCCTCGTCATCTAAATTTTCTTCTATAACAATGTCCCCGTAATTATCGTTAACGTGTTTTTCATTTTTTCGTTTCCTTAAAATAGTTCTTTTTGTTTTTATTTGTATAGGTTCTCCGTTACCTGGTGCTTGGATGAACTTCGTTACTATTTCTTCAGTTTCTTCCAAATCAGATGTCTTTGGCGAATCTTTGTAAACAACTGTTCGATCTGAAAATGCAATTAATTATAGGTTTAGTAAGATTTGGTTATTTTCTTTGTATTTGTCTTTTCGATCAAAAAGTTCAAGAGAAATGTCCAAGATAATGTAAATACTTATATGGAATACTGTTTTATTTTTAATTACTAGCTGATTAAAAAGTATTATAATTATAAAAGTTCACGTAAAATGATATATCAAAATTATTAACAAATGTGAAGAATAATTATGTACTTACCGCTTGAGTAGTTTTGATAGTTTTCATCAGAAGCGGTAAAATTCGTTTTAAGTGCCTTAGGTTTTTCTACATGGTATGATGCTAGTTGTTCGTCTAGAACCTTTTCAGATACTTCAACTTCATTACACAACATTAATATTTCACTAGGAGTTCGTTTCTCTGGCTCACTAACGTTAAAAGGAGTTTCAGTTTGAAGATCGAGGGTATCTGTTACAATCAAGGGTGAGAAATTTGTAGTCTTCGTTGATATAATTTTTGAGTGTATTTGCGGTGTAATTAACACATCCGCTTGCATATCTGTAATGTTTTCTGTGCATTGTAAGTGTGTTAATGTCGTGATACTCTTTTCAGCTGTAATTGACTTAATCAAATTAGAATCAAATTTTTCGTGGATATTTTCTTCCCTGACTTCATAAACATTTACTCCTTCACTAACGTCTATAGAGCATGAAGCATTATGTGGTGTTATTTGTTGTTCGAAATTTTTATTAATTACGCTTTCATTTAAAACAACGTCCGTTTGATTTAAAGGTTCCAATCCGATAGTACTAAATGTTATGTTTTCTTCCTTAATTGTTTTACTAACGCTTAATTTCTTTTCAACTTCGCCTAAAATTACTTCAGTGAGCTCAATGGGCATAACACCTAAAATATTTTCATTTATTTTATTAGGAAGATGGCTAAGACTTTTATCAATATTTTGTGATTCTTCGTGCACAGTGTTTTCTGTAACAGCATACGTCGTATGTGGTTCTACGTTAATATTCACTGTACTACTTTCAGGTTCGGGTAATTCAGATATTTCAGAAACATTTTCTAAAACATCTTGCTTAATGTTTGCAATTTCTTTTGAATGTATTGTTTCAACTTCTGCTTTTTCATTAGTTTCTTCTTGTAGAGCATCGAAAGGAAGGGCATTTTCATTTAGAATTACTTCACTTTGTTGTATAGATTTATAATCTAATAGTTGTTGCTCTATATTTTTAGACACTTCTTTTTTGGTATCTATTGTACCAGATGTTTCTAAAGGTTCGCATACTGATGTAACATAATTTTTATTAAGTTGCAACTCGTAATTAAGTTTCTGTGCAGCGCATTGTTGGTCCAACAAACTGTCAATACTTTCAATCACCTCTGGGCATGTATTAACAACTTCTTTTATAGGTTCTTGGACTGTTCTAGCATTTTTTGGATTAGGGCGGCTAGTGGTCATAGATACAGGAAGTTCTTGTGTTAACAATTCCTGCAACTCCGTGTAGTGCAATTCATTAATACTAGAAGTAGGTTTAAGCCCTTCAGGCTTATGATGAATATCGAGTTGAGCATAGTTGTCCATTATTTGTTGTTGTTCACTACTAAAACCTTCAGAAACTAGTTGCGTTTTTTGAGCGTTTTCATATTGCGTTACTCTTTTTTCATCAAAATGTAATCCGTCTTCTAGTATAGTCGTTTCTACTGTAGTTATATGATCAACCGCAGTAACATTTAATTGTTGTTGGTCATTGCGTGGAATAGTTTCAACTTTTAAACATGCCTCATTTTCTCTTGTGTTAATGTCCGTAACTATTACGTGATGTTTAGCGTCGACTTGAACATTAATTTTTTCCTTTCTCGGCATTTCTTTATTCTCTAGCTTATCACCAGATTCTTTAGGCAGTACTTCTTGAACTTGTAACGATGAATGAGTTTCAAACATTTGTTCAATATCCTTTGGCTGAACTACAACAGAAGGTTCTTTAATACGTTCTTTATCAATACTTTCAATTTCTGTAACAGTAACATGCTGGGCTGTTTCCATGTTACATGAAACGTAACTAACTTTTCCAACAGTTTCATTTTCCATATGAACTCCTTTTTCTAGGGGTAAGACTTCTGAAACATTGACGCTGTCATTTAACTGGAAATTCATTTCAGGATAGGTTCCTCTTGTAATTTCATTGACATTAAATTCTTCCTGAATTTCTTCTGGTTTTATATCAGCTATTAATAATGGTTTCACTGACTCAACACTGACTGTATTTATCTCTTTTAATGCTAACTCAGGACTTTTCAGAACATTTTCTAATTCGCCTATCTGTAACATCTCAATACTTATATGTTTATTAGTCTCTATTTGGATGTTATTGGTTGATGTTTTAGGTGTCTCAGCAATTTTTAGGTATTTTTCAGAATCCCCCATAACATTTTCAAATACATTTATGTAATCGACTGGTTTAAGGATAATATCTGCTTGTTTTATGCTGTGATCTTTATTTACAGTTAATTTTCCTTCTTTTTCGTTTACTAATGCTTCGCTTATATTTATAGTAGGTTGAGGGAGAATATCAAGTGTAGTTGTTATATTTTTTAAGTCTTCGTTATTAGGTGTTACAAACGGCAATCCAAACTCTGAAGTTATAACTTCCGTTATATCTACCGATTTCGTACCTTCTACGATGCTCTTAGTAGTTTTCACCGATGGCACTTGTTTTGGCAGTGATGCCTCTAATTCTCCAACAAATTGTTCTGTGTTTTGTGTTGCTTCTAGTATTCCATATGTTGAATTTGCTTTGACAAATTCTGTATTCTGAATTTGCAAATCCATACTGTCTTGGTTAGCCAAAATTTCAACGCTTTGTATGTGTTTTTCTTCATCTATAACAGTGTTTGCTGTGCTAACACGAGTTTTTTCCATTTTATCAATATTCTTTTCCTTCTCTATTGCTTGTACTTCAAATACTTCTTTAGCTGCTGATTCTATAACTTTTTCTGTTGCTTGAAATTCCAAATTATTTTTCTTAATTGACATATCAGCTTCTTTGTCTATACAAATGATTTCTAGTCCTTGCACTTGTTGTTGAACATGATCATATGCTTCTACAGCCTTAAATTTATTGGGAATTTCGTTTGTTAACCTTTCGACGTTATTTGATGTGATTATTTCGGTGTTAACTGCAGAATTGAAAGGTATATACTCAATGGAATAATTTCTAGTTCCTAAAGTGGAAGGGTAATCTATATTTTTCTCCTTATCGCCTATCTCTACCGAGCTCATTATTAATGCCTGTGATTTTTCGAAATCTAATGTTGCACTCTTTTTTTCAGTTTGATTATGTTCTAAATGTAATTCTTTTTCTGCTACAATAGTTTCTGTTTGTCTTACTTCATGTAATAACTCGGTTGTAATGTCAGATTGATGTCTGCCTATTTTTGATTCTAAAATTTCATCTGTTACATGACTGACTAAAGTTTCTTCTATTTTAGCAGCTTTTCCATAGATATCTATATTTGGCAATGCTTGTTTATATGATATTTGAAGATCATCTGATTTTTTTAAATTATCTGATTGTGTCAAAGTCTCGGATGTTTGGAGGCCATGTTTCTCTATAATAGAAAAGTCTGCAGTTTGCACGTCGGGAATCACTGGAAGCAATAAGTTCATTTCATTTTCAATTGATATGTTCTCCCCACATTCTGGAACTTGTTGAGGTGTTATAGACATAAAAGATTTCCTTAAATTGGGTTCATTTTGCTCTAAAACGCCTTCATATGTATGAATTATCACTTCATGTTGGGAAATTGCTTGTACTGGAATTGAACTATGCATGGCCATAGCTAAAGGCTTACTACTTCTAGATTCAATGTTGGTAGGATATATTTCTGATTCAAACTCTTGTATAACAACTGCTTCATTTGTACCAATATTCAATAAAGCTTCAGAAATTTTCGGTGTTTTTATCATCAAAGTATTCTCTTTTTCTTCACAATCAGTTTTACTAACAACCATTTCCTTAAAATATACATTTTCAACTGTAGCGTACCTTGACTTATCTTTTGTAGGAATTTGATTTGTAAAACCAACTGTATCATCAGCAACCAGTTCAGATGACATTGCGACAGGTCGCCCTGTGATGTCCGTGGTTGCCACAAAGCTTTCTATTGATTGATCTTTCTGGTATATTCCTTCTTTTTCATGTTGTAATGTTTCAGTTACAGTTAGAGATACTTGTGGAGTAACTACCTCTGTGTTTAATAACTTAACATCAGGTAAATAGTTTTCTGCAAACGGTTTTTGTGAATCTAATACATTGCTTTCACTAATTTGTACTTGTGTTAAAGTATTTGGGATAATTTGTGCTTCTTTGTAGTGTGGTTTTTCAAAATTAACATTATCTAATGCATGTGTCAGATTCAATTCCGAAATTAAAGGTACCCGATGATCGATATCAACTTCTACTGTGGCAAACTTACTGTTTTGAAGATTTTGTGGTTCAAAATACTCTTCGTTAATAGTGGGAATAGTTTCAACTACACTTAAACCTTCGTTACTTATTAAACAAGTGTTTGCTTTTCTATGAGGTCGATCAGTTTCATTTAACATTTGTATTTGTTCTTGAGTATTGGTTTGTAGAACTGTTATTTCTTTGTGTAAATTTTGTTCTTGTGAAACGTGTTCTTCAACATTTTTTACTTTCTTTATAAAATCTATTTGATCTGCGGAATTAATTTCTTCAGAAATAGGAGATTTTAGTACATGAGATGTTACCATTTTAGCATGTAAAATATCAGGGGCTATTTTAGGATGTATAGACGACTCAGATTCAGAGATCTGTGTTTCTGTAATGGAGAGCGGTAAATTAGGAACTACATCGCTAGACATTGTTTTCAAACTTTGAATATTTTGTGAAACGTGAGGAGATTCTAGTTCATGTACCAAGGGTATGGATATAACTTTCGCACTTTCGGTTAACATACTTTCTGTAGCAGCTTCGTCAGGTACTTTCTGAGATGAGGGAAGTTCCTTTACTGTTGAAATTTGTAATGTTTCGGAAGTTATTAATGCTTGTAAAGATTTGACATCAAAATCTGCCACTGCAGTGGATTTTTCCTGTTTTAGCAGTAGTTTTTCTTCTTTTTCATTTATATTTATTTCTTCAACCGTATTTTTATCCAAGGTAGATATTGTAACATTAGCACGTGTGGTAGGCAAAGATTTTGATTCTTCAAAACATTCTTCTGTGTCAATAACATTTGTTTCTAATTTAAACTTATGTTGATGTTCATTAAACGCAATGTTTGCTTTTTTACTGACTAACGTTTCGACAGGTATTTCAGATTCCTTTATGTGTGTAACCGTTATCAAATTATCTAAGCCAGTATATAAAATTAAATCTTTGTCTACAATTGCTTTAAGAGGTTCAAGAGAAGTAGGTAAGTCTTCTTCTTTTTCATGTAAATGACTAAAGGACACAATGACGCTATCTTTTGCCATTATATCCATATTTGCTTCTTGACTGGGTGGATATTTAAGCGCATTTAACGAACCTTCTTTTTCTTGAACATCGTGAATTTGAGTCAAAATTTGATTAGAAGGCAGTACATCTTTGCGTGCTGTTTCAGTGGGGACAATTAATTCCGGATAGTATTTTCCTGACTTATCTTCAACGAAAACCTCGCCAACTTGAAGAGATTCCAGTAAGTTAAAATCAAATTTAGTTTGCACTGGCTTTTCTAATCTTTGATCTCCTAACTTCTGTTCTTGGCTTTCTTCATTAACTTCAGTTACACTAACTTCAGTGAGCGGTGTAATTGATATTGAAGCAAATGATTTTGTACTTGGTGCATCTTTTAATAACCCTTCCTTAAGGGTTGGTATATCTTGTGAAATGTTTATAGCATCCTGTACCATTATTAAGGGCTTTGCATGCTGCTTGCGTTCTTCACTTTTTTCTATTTTATCAACAGATGTTGTATCACTAACAGTTTCTGTTGTAATATATCCTTCTATTGTAACAATACCCTTTGTCGCATTTAATTCTGGTCTCAGCTTTTTTATTACACATTCTTCTACGGTATTACCAGCATCTATTTCTGTTACTTGTAATGATTCTACTTCAGTAACATTTGGTCTTATTAAAAATGATGAGTCCATTTTAACATCAAAAGGTTCCACTTTTTCTTGGATTTGTTGGGAATCGTTAACTAGAGGATAGTTATTATCTACCTTAATATTCGCCGTAAATTTCTCTTTAGTCTTTGTTTTCATATTTGTCGTCTGAGCTGCAGCAACCACTTCTATTACATTGCTATGAACATCTATTGGTATTGTTGAGGTAAAGGGCATTTTATCTACTTCAAATCTATCTGTCACAGCTGTATCGTAGTGCTCCATTTTCTCAATGGGGTGCTTTTCTATTAAACTTTTCTTGGTATCTTCAACAATAAAAATATCTGACTGTGTGTGTTTTTTGCGTTTTCCGTGTTCTTGTTCTTTGTTATCTGTGAAATTATGGTATAGTAAATAACGGAATAAGTAGTAATATTAACAATTACAATTATTCATTTACTTATAAGCTTAAGCATATACACAACGTATAATGTATTTAAATTGTTAAATTTAGTTAAATGGAATATGAAAAATAGTAGCTGTACTTACTTCTTAATAATAATTTTTTTATATTGCTTAATTTTATTAACGTTCCAAAACAAGTGTAAGCGCTCGAAGGCAATTGAAGAAGGCTGCGTAAGGACAAAAGCACAATTCAAAAATTTAAGGCAATGGTTAGATTGCGTTTTTAATTTTATTCCTAAATATGTTGGCATATTGATATGGTTAGTGGTAGTGAAGCAAGCTATAGCTTTTAGGCAAAACACTTTTAATTAAATTTGAATAAGCAGAAATGTATTTAAAATATATCTTCAATTTATTTATAACATTTAAAAGCACCAACGCCACGGAGCAAAAATTACTAACTTTTGTTTTTTTTCTATCTTACCTGTGACTAGTTTCTTCTTTTCAGACGTGTCTGAAATTGATAAAAAGTAATATAAAAATTATTATCTAACCTGAATATTTACAGCTACCTATCTAAAATTTCATTTAAACTCGCACTGCTTTTTTATTTATTATAAATATAGGATCAATTAATCTTTATAATAGTATAGATAAATAACAATGTAATGTAATTTGTAGAATTAAAATGAGTGATTTATAAGATCCCTAAAGTTATTAATACTGGCAAAACAAGTACTAAAGAATGATGCGTTACTATTAACCTGAGAGACGCTCTTCGTATTAAGAACTTCATTTATGTATTGATTAATGATGTTATATCGGCGATGTTTTAAATCTCATCCTTTAAACGAGCAATTCTTGTATATACATATATAATCGGAATCTCAGAAACGGCTCGAGCGATTTTCAGGAAATTTAGTATGTGCGTAGATTCGGGGGCGAAAAATCGATCTAGCTAGGTTTCATTTATAGAAAATGTCGTTTTATCCCTGTTTTCAGGGAATGAAAAATATCATTCGAATATGACGGTAAATTTTGGCGAAAAAAAAATGTTATAATAGCTCGGTCGGTACTCGGGCGGCCCCGAAACAGAAGGCCGTGTTTCGTGTCGCGATCATTTACATACGTAATTTTTTTTACTTTTTTTTCGATTCCAGATCATTGCTTTCTTTATTTTTTTCCATCCAGATGATTTTTTTTAAAGTTCTTTGTTTTGTGAAAAACACCAGTTCATATTTTCTTTTTATTACGTCGGTAAGATCGAAAAATATTATACATATTTCATTACTCAGTAATTTGTATCTAAATGTAATTTCCAAAATATACGATTTACCAAAAAAAAAAACCGAGCAAAGCTCGATTCTCCAGGTACTTTTATGCTTAATCTTGCATCTTTATAACATAGTATAAAACAACATCGCTCCAGAATTTTGTACGCTTAGATCTTTTAAACTACGCAACGTTGAGTACGTGTATTGCGTTTTTCAGAAGTAGATAAAGTGATTCAAGCGGAAGATTTATATGTAGTAAACATGCATATTATGGTAGAGAGAAGCCGAGAAATTCAAAGACTTGTAATGTATTTTCTCCTAACAAACATATTTTTGCGCTTACATTGTAAACATTGTAAACAGATCAAATTAATGTACTAAGGAATTGTATATCTCAAAATTATCGATAAAAAATCTACATTGCACCCGAGCGAAGCAGGGACGAGTCGCTACTTATAACGGGTGATTATATAGACAACGGACATATTAACAGAGCATATGCAGAATTTGATTCTAAATCTGAATCTGATACGTACTTGTGACTTTGTGTACTCATTTTTTTTACAAAGATGATTTTTAATTTTTTCAAACATTATGGACACTCTATTAGAAATTCCTGCCTTATGTCTCAATACTACAATAACCTAGCCGCTGATCTCAGTGTGCCGTTGCTGTTCGCTGTTTGATTTTGTCTTTCAACATTCAAAATGTTTTCGGCTACTGCCTTATTAATTTCACGTTTTCAAGAGAGCAGCGGTAATTGTACGGGCATCCGTCCGAGGGAACGGCGAGCCAGGGAGACTTCCATGGACCTCACCCAGGCACATGTACCTATTCATGAGCACTAAAACTGTTCGCTGAACGCAAAATTACTAAACCACTTATCAATTTTAATCACTGAAAAACTAGTCAATTCTCTATGAAGCGTATTATGACAAAGAATGTTTACCGCAAAACGAATCAAGAAATATTTAACGATAGTAGCAAGTAGGTACGGCGTAAATCAAGCATCTACCTAAAGTAGGTTCGGTCAACGAGAAAATATAATTTCGGACATTGAACTCCTATGCCTATCTCTGTCGTTCCTGCGTAAATTCATGCCTTAAGACAGCAGCTCTCAAATCTGTGTCAATGTAAGTTCAATGTCTGAAATTATCTCGTCTCGGTGGCCTTCCCTTAGTTATACTACATGCGTTTACCTACAGACTGCAGACTGTGGGGTGACCACTCTTAACGGGATAAACAAACAATTAAAAAAATTTCGACGTTTCATAAGAACGCGAAAGCGTCTATGTGAATAAAGATATTTTATTATTATTCATTTGTTTTTATTATTATTTGTGTTCTAGACTGGTTGGGTTTATAGATAAAAAATAACATAAATAAACACAATAATAATAGTAATAATACTCCGGGACGGAACGCTCCAAGCTCTAATGCAGAAAGCGGTGCTCCTCGATACCGCCCGCATCGTACGCCGGTTTCCCTCCCTTTCACCCTAACCCTCGGCCGTTTGGTCTCCCCTGCCGAGGGCTTCCGTCTGGTTGGGTCCATCTATATCTATATGTTTAATTTTATTCATAATATTTATTTTATATATGCAATATATATCTATATGTTAATTTTTTATCTATAAACCCAACTAGACGAGAAAACAAAGAAATATCCCCAACATAATAATTTAATTTATAATTTTTATTTATAAACCCAACCAGATGAGAAAACAAATGAATATCCCCCCATAATATATTATTATTATTATTATTGAAACTTGTAGAAAATGTACGAAAAGATTGTCACCACTGTGGGAATCGAACTCTTCGGCCTGAGTCTTAAGCCACTAAGCTAAACGGCTGATTGCCACACCGACGAAAATCTTAACATCTTTTACCTACATGGTTGTTTTTAGCATTTGACGCCATGCTTGGCGCATCCATTGTTATATCCTTTCCAGCATACAAACAATTTCGAATATCGTTTTACAACGATAATTTGAACGAGAGATGTCACCTTTGTTTTTTAGAAAATATTTTTTTTTATAGTGCTAATCCCTGCACTTAAGTTTAAACATTAAAAATTGTAGAAAACGTACGAAAAGATTATCGTGGCTATGGGAATTTAACCCACGTCTTCGGCATTCGCGGCCTTAGCCACTAAGCTAAAGGGCTGATTGCCACATCGATTTCCACAGCGGCGACAATCTTTTCGTACTTTTTCTACAAGTTTTAACGTTTAATCTTAAGTGCAGAGATTAGCATTATAAAGAATATAAATTTCAAAACATACCATGTCTGAATCGATATTTTTCTAGTTATTTTTTGTCAAAATAAAATATTAATATTTTTTTGAATTATGGAATGCTGATTAATATTATGTCAAAGTATGTACTTAATCTAAAAACATCCTTTGTATTAAATAGCTGCTCTTTTATTTATATTGATGTGAATAATCCAATTTAAAGTTAATTAAAGCTCTCATTGAACGTCAACAAAACTACCACCGGTTCACTAAACTAGAACTAACAAGAGAAGAACCAGCAAGAAACTCTGCGTTCTTGTTATCTTTTAAAATGATGCATATATACAAACTTATTAAAATATAAAATCAGCAGCAGCCAGGGTACTTGCAAGTGCAGAACATTCTCACACATCCTTGTCCTCAATGTATTCTTCAATATTATAATAGGTTGTTGCCATTAGGGTAGATTTTACAAAATGTTTTCAATTGTTTATGCTTAGTTGTTTGTGGATGTCACCTATTTTATTATAAAAGTTAATGCATCTACAAGAAACGACTTTCTGGTTTTAGGCAGTGAAAAATTTGGTACTTCCAGAGTGTCACCACGGCCCCAACGTGATGTAGTATGTTTTTTTGTAAATGGTGGATAATATTATGTACATACATGATGTTTTTGAATATTTACAGTGACGGGAGCGTTAAAAAGTTTATTTACGTAGAAATAGTGAATTGTCATACCCAACCAAACAGTTTGAGAATATTTTTCCACTAAATATGGCAAATCTAATCATCAATTACATATAAACTAAAAACAGAAATGGGCCCAGAACCGAACCCTCAGGAACACCCATTTGTACTATTAATCCCGATGACGATGTAGGTACCGTTTATGATTATTTTTTGTTCCCTGTCAGCAGAATACGAGGAAAATCGAAAAGAAACTTAGGGTCCCGAAAAATCACGAAGCAATATACTGGGTGAAATTTTGTAATGCCACCTGAAAGGAAAGTACTCTTAATACTGTAGATAGAAAATTTTACTCTAACAAAACATTCCTTTATTTTCAAATAGAAAGAAAATTGCATTCCAAGATTTTCAAAAATTCGCTTGCCACACGCGGGACGAGAACCGACTAAAATCCGTAAAAATGTCTGTACTTTTATTGCATCGATAGTTAGGATTAATTATAAGGATAAGACCTCTCTAAGAAACTTGATAAATTAAAATTAAAAAACAGTGGCACTCGAGGACTGCCGCAGCCTGTTTTTATCAACTTATGTAATTATAATTATTTATTTATTTATTATTTATGCAGTATTTCGTTTTCTTTGATATTAATTCAAGTTACAATTTTTGAGCGTGGTGACCAATAAGAAAACAATTTTTTTCTTTTACTGAATAAATGAGAAGTTAATATCGTTTAAAATATTTTTATTATCTTACTATACATGTAGGTTATTCATGAATTTTTGTCATTGAAATTATAGGTTTATGGTAACTGAAATAAGAAATATAAGTTTGAGACTTGATATCCTCTAAATATCATATCATCGCATGATAATATACGATTATACTATCATATTATAATATCATATTATAATATCCATCCGTGTGAGCTTCGTACAGTTGTACTGTATACATACACGTTAAGCGAATGCTCGGCCGAGCATTCGCTTAACGTGTATGTATATGGTTATGTTAGGTTTTATTTTCGTTAAGGAATTTCTTGATTCGGTCGCCGCGCTCAAAGCCCGCGATAAAAGCTATGCAATAGCTTAAAAAATCTAAAGGGGTGTCTAGGCGACAATTTATACATTTAATTTTTATGTTATATTTATATATTAATTTTATATTAAATTAATAATATTTAGTTTATTATTCTTATACTTTTTATTTATAATTTAATATGTAAGTTTGTATTGTTATTTTCATTTTATATGGCAACTGCGAGCGGCCACGTGGACTTTAGATTTTGAATTTTAAATAAATACGGGTACTGTCTGTCTTAAATGCTGCTTCTTCTTTTTCCGAACGCGTTTACTGTGTCCAAATAACTCTCCTGAGTAGTTTAATAGTATTTGGTCTTTATTGCAAATAAAGAAATGTTAACCTCAGTGCATCGAATTTTATTGTGACACTCCCTTACAGGGTGAGATCTGATCATCTCGCAGGCCATCTGATTGTGCCGTTTATATCAATCCAGGTATTAAAATGGTTATAAATTTAGGCAGTAGTGATTCTATTGAAGAGTTGGAGCACCATTTTGCTGTAGAATTTGATTTCGCTCTTACTCGTGGAAGCCATTTAACTCATTTCTTAAGGGATCCAGTATTTCAAGATACTTGACGGTGTTTAAATGACCTTCGTACACATGGATTAACACAACCATATTTCTCATAATTCCGCACCAAACGTTGCAAGAAAATCTTACTTGTTGCTAACAAGCACGGGCGTTTCAGTCAGAACAAAACAGTATTTTAATGCCAAATGACCACAAACCACTTTAACTGGACAACTTAACAATAGGTGACACTGTCCTCAATAATTAAATAATATTTGACATACCCTAAAGAAGAAGCAATGGAATGTTTTTCTAAATTTTCTAAACAGCAGTATTAGTCCGGGATCCCAGGCCCATTTTCACCTTTTATTACTAACAAACAGATTATTTGTGAGTAGCTTCATTTTGACGAGAAGCCCAACTTTTTCTTTACAACACTTTTGGTAAACGGTAGCTAACAGAGTTAGCAGAGGTAAAATATGTTGATTTGACGAATTTAAAAAATTTAAAAAAGTGTAGTACAATGTGGCTGTTAAATTATATAAATATTAACTAACCAATAGAAAAAAAAATCAGCTGGTTAGTAATTACTTTTCATGACCTTGTTAATCGTACACGTTGGAGAGGGGGGACGCTTTGATAAAACTTTGAATTTTGTTGGACAAATATTTTTTCGGTTTATTTAGATAATTATCTTGGGAATTAATAAAGAAAAATTCAGTTAGTAATAAATTTTTGAAATTCATCAAATCAACATATTTCACCTCTGCTAAGCCTGTTAGCTACCGTTTACTAAAATTGTTGTAAATAAAAAGTTGGGAAAAATGAAGCTACTCACAAAAAATCTGCTTGTTAGTAATAAAAGGAGAAAATAGGCCTGGAATCCCGGACTATATATGATCACTCATATTATAAAAGATAAGATGAACATTGGTCAAATAAAAAACTATGTGAAGATTGTTTTAAGTACAGTTTGCGTTTACAATTTTTTAAATGCCATAAGCATAAGAATCTGGTAGTGATCTGATATGTCGATTTTTTATATATAACTGCTGTAGGGGATTATAAAAGATTATAAAAGGACAAAGAACTGATATTGATCTAAATGACAATATTCAAGACATGGCCTGGAAATATTTTGTAAAATGAAATAAAAAAAAATAAATGATTTAAATATAATATCATTGTTTGCTTTGACTAATTTTAAGCAATTTTCATTAGATCATGTTTGTCTTTAATTTGTATATCATTTATACGTTTTAATGAAAATCGAATAAAACAAAATGCGAAATACCAGTACCCATTATCAAGCATACAGCTAGCTGTAGCTTATCCATAAATACATGCTACAATGCATACAAGCTATACAGCGAAGCTTTTTTAAAGGAGCCCAGATAAAAACAAACTTTTTTTTTTTTCAAAAAAAATTACCATGCTATTTTTAGATTAGCTAATCTCTATCGAAACGCAGTTATAAGAACCGCGAGTATTACGAGATGGTACGGTGGTACATTTTAAGTGGTGAAAGTTTACGTGGTGCGCAAAGACTTTATGAAAGTGACTCTTTACCCCGTTTAAAAAGACAGGCAAGGAACTCAAGTGTATCTAATCGAGGGACGATTTTGGCAGCCAACCAAAGATTAATAGATTTTGGACAATTTACTATTATATATATATTTATTTATATATATATATCTATATATATATATATATATTACAATTTACACCGGCGTATACAATGCTCAGACAGGAGTAATATAAAAAAATAGTTTGAGAAAGCCTGCTCAGCTTTGTATTGAGAGAAATGGACTTCATTTTGAACAATTGTTAAAATATCAGTGAGTGTTTTTGGTGACTAAATGAAGAGGTTAGTTTAATTGTTGTAAATAGTTGATTTCACTTTTTAAATACACCATAATAAGTACGAACAATAGTGTGTGATTTTAAAATAATAAAGTAGCATTTTAGTATTATGATGACCCTTTATTATGATGGTCCTAAGCTCGTTCTAAGTATAAAGGAAAATTGGAATCATAAACTTACTTGTGCTATGATACGCGTATAGTAACAACCTTTAGTTGTGTGCGTGTCATAATGAAAATAGATAGGTGTCCACATTTATGCGTCGTATACTTTTGAAACGAACTTGGTGCGTGTTAGTTATGAATGATCGCGCGTAAAATAAACGAGTTGGGTATAAAAGATGCACTTTTTGAGATAAATTCAAATGAATGTAGTTAATTACTTATGAGTGATTTTAAATATTTATCATTTTTTATATAACATTATTTACGTCTAGAATTTAATTAAAAAAATGGATACACTTAGAAAAGCCTCCCTGTACGTATATTTAACAGCTTTAGTAACTCGATACTTTAACAACAGGTGGCGTAGCATCTCAAAAGGTTTGTCTGATTACTCTATCTCAGTTTATTCAATGTACTCTGTGATTGTTAATTTCATGACCGCGAAAAGGCCAATCGAGACCAATAGTGATTATTGCACCGATTATACATGCCGTTATAGCTAACGTTGGTTTCGTCAGACCATATAATGTTAGTCAAAAAATTACGGTTACGGTCAATTTCTCACAACATGTTTTACTTTGACAAAAGTTTTTATCATTTCTATTAATTTATTATAAAATATGATAATTATTTACAATCCCCAGGATGCAATTTTAGCACCAACCGACTTTCACTATAACAATTATACTTATACTTTTTCCGAACTTTAAGTACGCGAGTGTGGATTGTGCCTAATTCTTTGGCAGCATCTCTGCTTGAAGCCTTCGGAAATGATTCAAAGTATGTTACAACGTTTAGATCAAAATCGAAATATTTCTGCTGAAGAGTTGGTTGTCGCTTTTTGAAACTACCCGTATTCGTTAAATTTTCGACCATTCATTTCAATACGAACCGAGTTGGTGCCTGTCGTTCTATAATGAAAAAACTGAAAATCTTTGAATGCAGGTTTCTTTCTATTTAAAATAAAAAAGTTTTCTTTGAGTAAAATTTTCTATCTACAGTATTAAGAGTAACTTTCCCTTCAGGTGTCATTACAAAATTCCACCCTATATAATAAAGCAACTCACTGCTAATTGAGCAAAAATTTAAAATTATTCTAGAATATTATTAATATATTAACTCATTACCATTACCTTTCTGTCTGACCGGTTTCTGTAGAACTGGTTTTGAAATTTTTTTAACATAAGTTTTATTTTCTAACAAAAATACTAATTTACGATTTTTAAGATGGCTACAAACTCTGACTATTATATCGGCAACAATCCTGAGTAAATATTTCACTGCTCGTTACTGACACCATGATTTAATTATTTATTTAAAAGTATTTCAAAACGACTTAAATGCCAAAATTAAAACAGATTAAAGATACGGATATTTGTCGTGACTGTCAATCTGTATTATAACTAAACAGAAGTTTTATTATTATTTTTTTAATAATCCCATAGTTATTTTAATATTACCTTTCAACACCGTTGTAATATTCGCTTCAGCTACATTTTTAATGGAGGATGCTTCAAACACCTGAAAAGGAAAATATTTATTTATTTGGCATTTATACGATATCGAATCAAAACAGTTTTATATCGATTTAACTACTTACTTCGTTTGCTTCTTTGCATTCCCAGGAACGAGGTTTGAAATCCTCAGGGTAAAAGTCTGCAATAACTTCTTCTACTGATGAATGGTTCATCTCCACCATTTTTAAAAATGCTTTGAATCCAACTTTTGCTGCTATTACAGCTTCATCATGGGTAGTCTCTTCAGTTAGAACTTCAGTAATTAGTGCTCCATGTCCTTGTCTTTCCACTAATCGAACTAAAGCTGATTGTGATTGTGGCATTCTAAGGGCAGGGAAATATTCTGACTCATATAGGCTTTCGATTTGTTCAGTTGTTATACCACTTCGTAACATATAACCTATTTTTGCCAATTCTCTTAAAGGGGACTCACCGGGACCAAATTCTTTAGCATTTATTACCTCAAGCAGTTCATCAATTTCAGCTACCATTCCTGAATTCACTTCTGTAAACTTTGTTATGACCTCTGTCTCTTCAAATTGCTTATTTTCTAAAGGCTGAACTTTTTCAGTATTTTCTTCATCTGTAGCTATTAAATAATCACTAGATGAATTGGTAGGTTTCTTTATTTTACGTTTTTTAATAACTTCATGTTTATCAGTCTTTTCATAATCTAATGCCTTATTATCCCTTATTTCTTCTTTTGCTTCCATTTTTTCTTTATAAATATCACTTGCGATATTTATCCGCCTAGTTTGATGCGTTTTCTTTTGTTCTAATGTATTTATCAGTCTTGAATCAGATTTTATATCCTCATTATCAATGTTTTCTTTACTCATTTTGATTTCCTCACTTTGTATAACTGTTTTTTTTGTCTTTGCTTTTAAATGTTTTTTAATTATATCTAAACGTGCTTTCGTAACGGCGAAGCCAATATCACTGTAAGCTTTGCACATATATGTCCCTTCTGTATTTTCATTGGCTTTTATAATTTTACAAGTTGTACGATTATTTTCGTTTTCTATAATAAATTGATCGTCACTCGTAATAACTTCGTCATCTTTGTACCATGTTATTTCTGAAATATTATAATGAATTCATGAATTAATTTATTAAAAATTACAATAGGTATAGATAGTTACGTTACATGAAATTTATCAAATATTATTATAATACTCTTTAACTAAACTTTCGAACATTAAGGGAAAAAAACTTTTGGCAGGTATCAAAAAAGATGATAGAGGACTTTAATTAAGAGCAGATTGGGCTTGCTGATATGTGGTCTGATGTACTTTTTTTAAATACGTATACTCGCCCTCGCGGGGGCAAGAGCGGGTTATGTCGGCCTAGCACCGACTAAAACCATCACGATGTTCCACATAGGCGCATAGTGGCAGGGCCCCGGGAACACTTTGGCACACTTACACGACCCTGCCAGCGCTGGCTGTTTTAGCATTCTCAGGGAGGAACTTCCCTCTTCTTAACTGGAAGCTGCGCTGGAACATTCAACGCGCCTTCCTACTCAGCTGCCAGGAAAGCCAACAGAGCCAGTGCCAATAAGCAGTAAGCCTTCAAACCCCCAGCGGCGGACCTGGTCTGTGGTTCCGCCGCTTACTATATTTCGGCCGCGGAAGGGACAACGGTGCACCGCAATACCGACACTCATTTCCTCCCGCAGTTCCTACTCGGTAGCAGAAGACAGGGAGAGTGGGTCCTCCTCTACCACCCTCTACCTGTCCCCTGCGCCCTCCAGCACGCCTCCAGAGTGGGCTCAATGAGCCCACTCGGAGCGGCCCTGTCGGGCTGGCCTTGCTCCACAAACCAGCTCAGTGTGGGTTCCACTTAGCTTCGCGCTGGGTGACTAAACCACGGCTACTAAGTCCCTCCGCCACGGCAAGGCGGACTCCGACACGGCAAACTCGGTCGAAGGGGTTTAAATCGATATACTGTCATAGCCTGGTACCATAACTGGGAACTTGAGCAATTAATTGTTCTTCAATAAATTTTAACTTTGCTAAAATATCAGATTTAGACCACTCAGGATCGGAATTTATCGATAGAAAATATGTTCAACTCATTTTTTATTTAGAATTTGTCACTGAGAATGTAAAGTCCATTGTCATCAATATTTAAATCAAACCAATGACAATGTCATAAATTGCACTGTTTTAATTTCCATTTTTTCTGGGCAGTTTCAAAATTATTAGTTTACAACCTATTCTATTTGTGTAATCCTAGTATTAAGTACATTAACTACGATGTATTTGAGTTTAGTTCTGTCGTATCGATGTTAACTCATTGGTATTCTAACAGATGACGTTAGTAGTACAATAACATTCTATCAATACCAAATTGTTAATGTTCATGTTTTTTACGGTTATGAAAAAAATTTAAAATTTTTTGTCAGATAACACATAACGGTGGTAGAGCCACGCAGCAACCTCGGCTGTTGCACGAATGGGCAGGCTCGTCCGGGTAAGTACCACGACCTCACAGAAAATCGGCGTAAAGTGGAAGTATGACAAATACTTTCGTGTTTCGTCTGGTGAGTGAGGTAGCCGGAGCCCAATTTCCAAAAAGGTTGTCAACGCATCTGCAAACCCTCGGGTGTAGCAGATGTCTATGGGCGGCCGTATTCACCTAACATCAGGTGAACCGTTTGCTCGTTTGGTAACTTTTCACATAACAAAATCTAGACATAAAGTTAAATTACTATGTTAAAACACAAATCTTTAGGTGTGATAGTTTTTCAGCAAAGTATACCACAAAAATGCTCAGGTTGTGGGATAGTGTTAGGTCTCGCTTCGCTCGCTCTAATAAATGTTTTTTTTTTCGAAACTAATCATTCGAAAGGGAATGGATGAGATCAAACCTTAAAGTGAGAGCAGCGAACAATTAGATGTTCAATTTATTCCTACCAATATTACAAATTTCCTTATATAGTTAATATTTTTAAGACTATTATATTCTACTAGGAAATCTCTCTTAAGAAACCGGTAGAATTTTAAGAAATAAATAGAAGTACAAAGACTCCTTTTATTATCTTTTGCGCATTTAATAATATTAAAATATTAAAATAAAGGAAATAAATATATAAAGAAACAAGTCAATTTTTTACAAACGACAAACAACAAAACCGATTTCAAATATGTCTCTGTATTCATTTTATAATTGACTTTCAGGAGTTACCCACGTATCTCCGGAGCCACCACGAGAAGCACCAGCTTTCAAATAAAAAAAGAATCATCATAACCGGTTCACTCAGCCGAAAGTTTTGAGGTAACGAACATAAAAAAAAATTATAGTCGAATTGAGAACCTCCTCCGTTTTTGAAGTCGATTAAATAGCATAAAGTGTGTCAAGGTCTATTACAAACTACCTTATGCTCGTGACTTCAATTCTTAGTAACATTCAAGTAGTTTAGTAACAATTCAAATGCAAACTATATAATTGTTTTGGTCCTTCAATTCAATCATTCAATCCATTCAGCTGCTTTAAAGCCTTATTCCAAACTGACTTTCGGATAAACATGTTAAATAGCAGTTTTCAAGTAAATATCGCTTTTAATGTGTCAAATTGTGTTATTTATTTCGTAATCACAGAACAACATTTTAAATTTATTATTGATTTAGGTACTATTAACGAATAAAGTAAGTGTACCAGTAAATTTTACAGAGTACTTGGTTCCTACAAATCTTAACACTTACGAGGAAAACTCTTTGCGCCTTATCGTAGGACTTAGTGGCTCTAAAGTATTTGCTTTTGATGCTATTGTCACTATTTAATATTACTTACTTACACCAGCAGTATTAACAAATAATACAGAGAAAGACACTAACGCATTTTTGCGACTGGCAAGTTTTTTTTATTTAATTTTTTTAAGGTGAAAATGAATTTGTAAGGTGAAATACGGGACGATCATTTAAACCAATGGCATCCACTACACGTTTCTTATTTTTGTTTAATAAAACTATGATTTATTATTAATCTTGAAATTATTGTCACAAATAAATGAACATTTAAACAAAAACAAATAAAGAAAGTAAAGGCAATGTCGTGAAATAACTACATGTTTATTATGCAATAAGCATTTAGTTACTACGAATTAAATTGTTATTAGCATTTTATTTAAAAGTTTTAAGTTAAAGAAGATTCACCGTATTAATTCATACATGTAATTCTTACCTGGCTGAGGATTACCACTGTAGACAGCTTCAAAAATTACTGATTCATCTTCGTTCACACTTTGTTTCAGAAGGTTCTTTACAAAAGATGGTGATAAATGTTTGGCTGAAATGTAGACTATTTTCATTATTAAGAATTTAGATATTAATATATTAATTATATATATACAGCGTGTGGTTACAACCACGGCAATAAATGAACACACGTCTAATGCTACTTGCCAATGATCATAAAAAATATAAAACGTTAAAAAGATCCATAATTAAAAAATATAATTTTCAAGCAAAATAATTAAATAAAAAAAAAACAAAATTTGTAACATCCTATACAACTACAATTGACTGATTCATTCATACATTCCGAGACTTTTTCATTCACACGCTGTATATATATATATTTATATTTGATGACAAAAAGATAGTATATTTCAATGTTCAAGTGATAACAACCTGTCAAGAAAGAAAAAACAAGGAAGTACCTTCTAGAGAAGATTTCAACTCTTCCATGTGCGTAACCCATTCAGGTTTCCTATAATCTTTGGTACCAATGATATCTGGAATTAAAAACAAGTACATTTTTATATTTGCCATAGTCACTGTTACTACATTTAAGTTATCCACTATAACTTTTAAAATCGCTAGCTCGTAAGGCCATAATATATGTTACCAACGAAAATTGAAAAAGCATTGCCTTTTTAAACTGCTGGCTTACGATGAAACAAATACTGATAAACTTTTTTTTTTTTTTCGAAGATATAAGTTACTTTAAAAATCCAATTAATTTAAAATATGTAGTAGTATAGTACTTTAATAATTTAAAGACATGTTAAGCTTGATAAAATGTGTAGTGTAATAGACAGTACTTTATTGAAAAGGGCAAAGGAAGGAAGGGTAAATAAATTCTGCAACTCAATGTCTGCCAAATCATATCTGTAAAAAATTTAAAGCTTAATAATTATACTCTATTTTTCCTCACATTAAATGTAACTTATTTTTACAAATAAATAAAAAAAACTTACTTTCCACAGACAATGCGGCAATTGTGGCAGTTACACCTAAAGAATTAAAAGCCTCGAAAGTTATTTCACCAGTGTCATCTTGATATATTTCAGGTATTATCAAAATAGACGTTCCATCTTCAAGTTCCTCTATTTGGTATTCTTGAGACTGCTTAATTTCAATTCCATGTTTCAGCCACCTTATATTTGGTTTTGGCATCCCTATAGCTTTAGCTTCTAACCTGTTGTAACATAGAATGTACTTTGAAGAGGTTACAGGGTGCTATTAATATTATCATTTAAATAAAATATACTACATGATGCTATAATATAGAGCGACTGCTTAAATTATTTTGTTCGTTTTAATAAACCTATTGGAGGATTTTATGGCGCTGTAGGCAGTAAACAGGTATTTGTGATGGTGAAACAGGAGAGGCGGTAGAACCCGTCCTCTCGTTTGCTGCTGGGCGCACCATGAAAATTTTAACGATACGACGTGCGACGTTTATTAACAACTTATTATAAGGTTGGATGCCATACAAAGTAAGGATTATCGAAAAATGAGGACATGTATTATTATCTCTTTCTTTTATAAGAATGTGATAGTTTTTACTATTGCATTTTTATATAAATAATAAAAAAAAGTAAAGTAATGTAATAATAACAAATTATTCTTCTATTAAATTTATATAACATCGCTTACACCGAACCATAATTATCTATTTACCTAATGAAGATTTCTAATCCTCGGTAAAGATCGGTTTGTCTAATTTCCTAATAGGTGGTCCGCGGTACGCCGGGGTTCCGTGAACGAGTTTCAGTGGTTTCAATTTTTAATAAACAGGTTGTCATGATCCACAGCAGCTATACTCAACCTGCAGCCCGCGGGCCGTATGTATCCCTCCGTGTTTTTGTGTGATCAGCCCAACTGCTGTTACTTTATTTTAAACCATTTTCAATTTCGCGCCCATAATGAAAATTAATTGAACCCTGAGTAAATAAATAGGTACAATACCGCGCTGTCCAGTTATTGATACGGTAAATTTATAAATTTTTATTTTAATTTACAGCAGACGTTGGATTATATCACATCAACACGTCAATTTACTTTCGTAAATACGATAAATCAAGTGTAATTACTACTGAGATTAGCAATATTTTGCCTAGGTCATTTTTAACCAACTTCAAAAGGAGGAGGTAATAAAATCGGGATGTTTATATTTTTTATGTATGTTCGGGCATAACTCAGTCATATATAGACTTTCGAACAAAAAAATAATTTGCATAATTTTTTTGTTCAAAGGCTTTTATTCCGAAATGGTCCCATATAAATTTCATATAGATCTGATGATGAGTTTCGGAGATAGACGGCAGAACTCTTCAAATAATGACAGCAAATCAACTGCGATTGTTGCTATCGTATAAATATGCATTGTACTGCGCTATCACACAACATAACATCGTATTTACACAATTAATATGCTGTTTTAGTGTTCATAACCATCATGTGTTCTTTGTAAGCGTCTAATTGTCTGACAGTGAGATAATTCAAAATGCAACTCCATCGACAAAATCTTCATCAACAGTATTCCTTGACGTACGCAAAGCAATTCAAGTTGAGCCGTTGTCAAATCGGTAAAAATTCCGAACAGTACGTCTCGTTTTTCAAGGTAGAAAAAAATTTTAATGTTAATAAATGTTAATAATTAAATATTACATTACGTGAAAATCAATGCAAAAACTTACTTTTAATAAAAAAAATATTTAAAACTTGTTATTTTCACTAAATAAATTCGCTATTTTGTGTTCGACAACATGTATACGAATTCACACACTTTTCTAAATTATAACCTTCGCATTATTAAAAAATACTAAAAGTACTGTTACACTAAAGTTTTCTGGGTGGTCATAAAAAAAGAACCTAACAACGAAGGATAACCTTCTAACCTAACCTATCCGAGTCGGATCGCTCTGTGTCGGATTTGTGACTCATTTTGAACCTAATATTCGAGACATTAAGTGTACACTAAGTCACAAATTTTAAATATTAGAAATTGTTAATAATACATGTTCATGAAGTAGAAACTTGTGTTTTTGTGATATATCTGTGTATTTGTGTCTTCTTACAACGTAAAAAGTGAAAACGTAAGTTTTTAACTTAAAATAATAGTCTATAATGAATAATGGACGCACAGTAATGACAGATTTCAGTTGTATGAAATTTAAAAACTTTGTTAATTTTTTCCTCATAATCTAGTGGTTTTCATTGAATATAACTTATACAATATTTAATTATTAACATTTCTCTATAGATTATTTTTTTTTCTAGCTTGAAAAACGAGACGTACTATTCGGAATATTAGCCCAACTTACTTCAAAATGTATAATTTTGTTAAAAAACGATTTTGACTACATACAGCGCCATAATTGTCATTTTTACTTCCGTTGTAATCATAGTCAAAGGACGGATTGAAGTGTTTGACATCTTGCCTATATCATTCTGAGGTAATGTCCCCGTTAAAGATTATATTTATTCACAGAAAATGATTTTTATTTAATACTAGCTGACTCGGCTAACATTGTTTTGCCGTATAAATTATTTCTAGAGGAATCGGAACGCACGCATAAAGTGTTTGACTGGTTACCCAGACATAGTTGACAGGTTGACAGGTTGACAGGTACAGTTTGTATGGGAAAATAAAATTGTTGCTATTTCGATTTTCCATGCAATTTTTCCATAATTTCTCATCATATAAACCTTCCCTGGACTGCCACGAATATATCAAAACCAAAATTAGCCAAATCGGTCCAGCCTTCCTCGAGTTTTAGCGAGACTAACGAACAGCAATCCATTTTTATATACAAGACAAGATATAGAAGAGTATTCCGGTTTGTACGTTAAAAATTAATTTCTTTAGATAAAATGATAACTTGTAATTATATAAAATGGTCTATTAGTGTTTGTTACCTGGTCAGTTCTCCTTCAGTTGCAGAAATTACAGCGGGTAAAGCTTTTACAATCCGAGGCGCAAATTCTTCGACGTCACTTGTTTTCTATAAGATAGTAATAAAATATTTTTTTCACGATAGTAGTAGTAGTAATAAAAGGTGAAAATAGGCCTGGGATCCCGGACTATACATGATCACTCATATTATAAAAGATGAGATGAACATTGGTCAAATAAAAAACTATGTGAAGATTGTTTTAAGTGCAGTTTGCGATTACAATTTTTTTAAATGCCAAGAGCATAAGAATCTGGTAGTGATCTGATATGTCGATTTTTTATATATAACTGCTGTAGGGAAACAAAATTATAAAAGGACAAAGAACCGATATTGATCTAAATGACAATATTCAAGACATGGCCTGGAAATATTTTGTAAAAAGAATTTAAAAAAATAAATGATTTAAATATGATGTCATTGTTTTCTTTGACTAATTTTAAACAATTTTGATTAGATCATGTTTGTCTTTAATTTGTATATCATTTATACGTTTTAATGAAAATTGCAAAAGAAAATAGAATAAAACAAAATACGAAATACCAGTAGCCTAGTAGTATTTATAGATAAGCATACAGCTAGCTGTAGCTTATCCATAAATACATGCTACAATGCATACAAGCTATACAGGGAGGCTTTTTAATGGTGCCCAGAAAAAACAAACTTTAAAAAAAATCCATTCTGTTCCCTAAAAACAGAACTTGTTGACAATGCAGTAGTCATTCATAAATATTTAAATTTTACTGTGTACGCACACAAACAAAATTCGTTCCTTTCCCTTTCACCCGCGCGTGGCGACCGCCTTATGCGGCCGCTGCCCTTAGCCCTTCGTTAGTTTCAATTTGACCGTGACCTAATTAAGGACGCGCATGCTATTTTTAGATTGGCTAATCTCTATCGAAACGCAGTTATAAGAACCGCGAGTATTACGAGATGGTACGGAGCTATATTTTATGTGGTGAAAGTTTACGCGGTGTGCAAAGAATTTATGAAAGTGACTCTTTACCGCGTTTAAAAAGACAGGCAAGGAACTCAAGTGTACCTAATCTAAGGACGATTTTGGCAGCCAACCGAAGGTTATTAGATTTTGGACAATTTACTACACCGGCGTATACAATGCTCAGACACAAGTAATATTAAATAATAGTTTGAGAAAGCCTGCTCATCTTTGTATTGAGAGAAATGGACTCCATTTTGAACAATCGTTGTTCAACTTCACTGATATTTTAACAATTATTGTTAAAATATCAGTGAGTGTTTTTGGTGAATAAATGAAGAGGTTAGTTTAATTGTTGTAAATAGTTGATTTAACTTTTTAAATACGCCATAATAAATACGAACAATAGTGTGTGATTTTAGTATTTTAGTATTATGACGACCCTTTATTATGACTATTTATAACGACTAATCAGGAGGTAGCTGAAGTATTTGAGAAATTCTTTAGTGAGATTCCTACTTTAACTACATTGTCGCTGAATTCTTCTCCTGCTGTTGCCGAGACATTACTTAAGGAAAATGTAAGTGCTTGCATCACAATCTTTAAATTTCAGGCTGTATATGCAAAAGATATTATAAAAATGTTTAAGACCATTGAACTTAAGAAAACGACAGATCTATGGGGAATGTCCGTTGAAGTGACTGCCTCAATAATAGATTCAATCGCACCTTATTTGTCAATAATTTTTAACAGTAGTGTAGATTCTGGCGTATTTCCTGATCTCATGAAACACAGTAAAGTCATACCTGTATTTAAATCCGGTAGTACTTCGGACCCCACTAATTTTAGACCCATTTCTATACTACCAACACTTAGTAAAATTTTCGAAAAACTTCTTCTAGATCAGCTGTTAACACATTTTAACTTAAATAAATTATTACATCACAACCAGTTTGGTTTTACAAGGAGTCGTTCTACAACCGATGCTGGTGTAAAGCTGATCAAACATATATTTGAGGCTTGGGAGAGTTCACAGGATGCTCTGGGTGTCTTTTGTGATCTTTCCAAGGCTTTCGATTGCGTGAATCATGAAACACTGATCAGGAAATTGCGCCATTATGGCATTAAAAGTACCGCGCTTGACCTCATTAAGTCATATCTATATCTAATAGAATTCAAAAAGTTGTAATTAATGGTGCTAGTTCTTCTGGGTCGACGGTATCTATGGGCGTTCCGCAGGGCTCGATTCTCGGCCCATTTCTCTTTCTCATTTACATTAATGATCTTCCTTACTTTGTAGGGAGTAAACACGATATAGTGTTATTTGCCGATGATACATCATTAATTTTTAAAATCGATCGACAGCTTGTTACACTTGACGAGGTAAATAATGCTATGTCAGAAATAGTCTATTGGTTTAATACTAACAATTTAAGAGCCGTGATAGCTCAGTGTCCGGGCGCTCGCCTTAATTCAATGTACTCGAGCAACCTGTTTTTAACTTTAAGTACCTGCATATTTTCGAAATAATAACAAAAAAAAATATATTTCGAATATATGTGAAGTCCGCCAATCCGCAGTGGGGCCGCGTGGTGGACTATGCCCTGATACCCTCTGTATAGAGGAGACCTTTGCCCAGCAGTGGGACATGTATAGGCTGTTACTTTACTTTTTACTTTTTAACAATTTACTATTAAATGGTAATAAAACTAAGTGTATAAAATTTTCAACACCTAATGTTAAACATTTGGGTGCTACCAATGTACTTATAAATGGGGGGGAGTTAGGCCTTGTGGATACGACTGTCTTTCTTGGAATTACTCTCGATGCAAAGCTTCAATGGGGTCCCCATATATCCAAACTTGCGAATAGACTAAGTTCTGCAGCGTATGCTATAAGGAAAATAAGATGTCTAACTGATGTAAAAACGGCTAGAATTGTGTATTTTAGTTACTTCCATAGCAAAATACCATATGGTATTTTGCTATGGGGGCACGCGGCCGATATAGAAAAAATTTTGATTTTGCAAAAATGGTCCATAAGAACTATTTATAATCTAGATTTGAATGCATCTTTGAGAGAGAAGTTTAAAGAAATAAATATATTAACCTTAGCCTCTCAATATATATATGAAAATGTTATGTATGTGCGTAGAAATATTAATAATTTTGATAAGAATACTGATATACATAATGTGAACACTAGGAACAAACACAAGCTTGTAATGCCAGTTACTAGACTCCATAGAGGAAAAAAATCAGTTGTATAATATTTGAATTTTTTTTTCTTACCCTACGGAGTTTCTTTCGCCTGTTTCTTCTCCGCTAGAGGAACCTCATTACGAAACGGTGATAGATTTAAAAAAAAATATGACTATTGACAAATGAAATGTAAGTTTCTTATGTCGATGAATAAATGATTTTGATTTTGATTTTTGACGGTCCTAAGCCCGTTCTAAGTATGAAGGAAAATTGGAATCATAAACTTACTTGTGCTACGCGTGTAGTAACAAACTTTAGTTGTGTGCGTGTCATAATGAAGATAGATAGTCTGTCGACATTATTGCGTCGTATACTTTTGAAACGAACTTGTGTGCGTGATAGTTATGAATGATAGCGCGTAAAATAAACGAGTTACGTATAAATCACGCACTTTTTGAGATAAGTTCAAATGACTGTAATTAATTACTTACATGATGTTAAATATTTACCTTTTTTTTATAATCCATTATTTTTGTCTAGAATTTAATTAAAAAAATGGATACATTTAGAAAAGCCTCCCTGTATATAATTTGATACTACAACCGCAGGCAATAAGCATCGTGGTGAGACACAATTTTAAAACATACAATAGCATTTAAGTAATCCTAATAGGGTGGACACAGCTAAAATACGATTCACCGATTTAGCTGGAGTCTAAGTAACAGCAGGGATTCGATAATTTGATAGATCCAAAAACGATTAATTTATTGATGATGAATTACACTTGAATTTAAACTTCTTGCCCGGCTCTGTTCTAATGCTTAACATAAAAAGGGAAATTACTAATTATTATGTAACCTGAATTTAACTACATAGGCGTACAACTTTACTTCCACAATTTGCGTGCGATAACGATCACCTGTGATTGTTTAGACGGTTTTAACAGCTCATAATACAATGGCTTGTTGCGTCACTCCCAATGATCCTGCCAATTCTTATTGCGTTGACACGAGTCTTAATCAAATAAAACCTCCAATTCTGCATCTTCGAAAACCTTCTCTCTTCCACCGCCATGCTGGTCTTCGATGTCAAAATCACCGTTCTTGAAGCGTTGAAACCACTTTCGGCACATTCTTTCACTAATAGCGGCTTCACCATAGGTATTTGAGAGCATTCGATGAGCTTCAGCCGCAGATTTCTTCATATTAAAGTAGAAAATTAAAAACTCTACCAAATGACGAGAATTTGGCTCGTAATATGACATGTTTAATCGAGAATAACTTTATGAGTCGCGGGCAACCGGTGGATGCAAATGGCAAAGTGTCGTTCGTTGTGGCGTTCTAAGGGGGAGGCCTATGTTCAACAGTGACGGCTGATGATGAAGATGATGATGAACTTTATGATGCAGACACATATCGAATAATATTTCGATGGCGTTATGTTTACAAATACCTAAGCTTATTGTATGACATCTACGATCTATTTCTTTAAACTATCACTTACCGCTACAGCCATCTATTGCAAAACGGCGGAAGCAAAGTTGTACACCTAATATTTAAAATCCCGATGATGTCGGTCACCTAAATAACGTTTTTTGGCAAACTTTATTTTGAGTAGAATAAATATGTAGGAGATATGCAATTCTAAAAGAGAACGTACGACATTAAAACCTTTTATGTAATAAAATTTTAGAAACGAATACTGTTTCCAAAACAACGTTCATTAGAGTAAGAGAAAGAATGAAATTAAATTCCATTTTAGTTCTTCTAATTAATGTTCAAAGAAAAATGTACCTCGTCACTTAAAACGTCTTCTTCTGAAGCACTGGGCACGTATTCGTATGCTGAAAAGAATTATATTAAAAATACAGTATAATACCTAAATCTACGAAATATACTATTAGACTATATGAAAGTACAATTCTACAATTAGATCTCACATTTTAATTTTCAATTTAAATAAAACAAAGAGGAAGAAGAAGTTTTTCAACTATTAACATTTTACTTACTTTATTGCGTTGCAAAAATATGTAGAATTGTAATTTTATGGTAATTTTAATTATTATTACAACCGTCAAAGTTACAGAGCAAAATGTTATGCCTTGCTTCTGATTGAATCAATTTATTTAGTAATAATATAATTCTAAAGCCAGTGATTTCTATCAAAAACATTTTTTTTTTAATCAAAAAAAGTGCTAAACAATCAGTCTAAACTGTGATATTTTATTTTGCACATATTATTATGAGTCATAATCATATTATAAAAAAAATATCTACAGATGCATGGCAAGTATGAAAGTAAATATGAAAGTTAACTCCATGATTTTTTTAAATTTCTAAAATGATGATTTTTACCATGAATTTTTATAATTAATATGAAAGTTAACTCCATGACTTTCTATTGCAACATGATAAGTTTATTTATATATGTATTACGTGCAGTGTACTGGCATAAATGCATGCAATTATTTACTGAACCTCACTACCTTCTACATTTACAACACATTCACAGCTACAAGTTCCAAACTCATTTATTGCTCGGCAAGCATAATTTCCTGACATTTCTGGGAAAGCTTCCTTTACGCATAACTCGCACATTCCTGATTCTTGTCTAGCTATGGATATATCTTTCTCATATTCAATTACTTCTCCATTACGGTACCAAACGATTCTTGGACAAGGTTTTCCAGTAACTTCACATGTTAATACAATTGGTTCCCCATCCATTACTGTTGTTGAATGCAAAGGCTTAAGAAATATAGGAGGCTTTTTATTGGTTATCTGTTTATGGTTTTCCAAAACCACACTAGCAGAACATGAAACTGATCCAGCAAAGTTTTCAGCTCTGCACGTTACTATGCCTATAAATTCTTCACTTAAGTTTTCAATATAGAGACTGGAAACATTATCCCTGTTTGTGATATAAGTGTCATATATTTTATGTTCCTTTAAGTACGATGTTATTTCTTTAGTACCAACAAACCACTGGAAAGATGCGTTTGGAAATGATACAACCTCTGTTTCCAACAAAATATTTTCTCCTAATTTCACTAAGCGTGGCCGTAAAAATCTAATAAATACGGGAGGCTGGATGTTATCTACATCTGACACCTTTTTCAATTGTACCGAACTTGCTGATTTAACAATAATACCATCGTTATTTTGGATTACTACTTCATATTTTCCTGCTTTGGTTTTATCAGCATTTTTTATACTCAATGTTGATATTCCATTTCCTGTTTCTATTATATATTCATCATTATTTTCTATGTGGCAACCATTACGAAACCACTTTACATGACTTTTGTCTTCTGTTTTGAATGTTACAAATAAACTAAAATTACTACCACTCTCAATATTTATGGCTTTTAAAGGTTCAGTAATAAATGGTCCGCATTCTGAAAATATTCCATATTGTTATTTCGCTCTCAAACACAAACGTCTATTGACATCAAAAGAAGTTTAGACACGATTATTATATAACAACATATATATTTAGTTTTTGATAAAAAATTAATGATATGAAAGATTTATTATACTGAGTTAACGTAAATCAATCGATATGAGATCAACTATATACACGTGTTAGTTTAAGAGAAAGTTTAATTCCTTAATTTTTAAGTTATTAACATGAAAAAATATTATTCAAACATCTTTAAGATACACAATACCGTCGATATAATATATATACAAAAATAACACTTCTAATTTGCATTGATGTCTTGATAAATTGTTCGTTAAAAGATACTTAAAAAATGTATATTTATAGATATTTTTGTACTTTCGTATAAATGTATGTATACGCCATGCATCTGTTTCATAGTACTATTCACTGTCAATTCAAAACGAAACAATTTAGACTATAAAATTTATATTAAACAATTCCGTACAGACAAATGATACAAATTAAAAATCTTACCTTCTGTTGCTTCTATGTACTGCTCCTTTTTATTTTCAATTTCCTGATTTTCTTCGGTCAACTTAGTTTTGTCTATCCTGTCTTTATTTAGTTTTTCTGAATGAGATATTGGTTCATCTTTTTTTACAGTTGAATCACTTGTTATAAGAGGGGCTCGACCATGTAATCTTTCAGTAGACTCAATATCCGCTGACGATAATTTGGGTTTATCATCTTGACTTTTTCCTTTCTCAACGGGTTTCAGGTGTATAGCTTCTGTCCTTTCCTTATGTATAGTCTTATCTCTTTTGACTGGCTTAAGGACTACTTGCTGAATGTGTGGTTCTAAGTTTTCTTGTGATTTACGCACGGGTTTTAAGACTTTTTCTTCTTCAACTGCCGGAGCATGTTTTTTTCTTTCTGCAGGTTTTAACTGAATAGTATCAAGTTTAGTCTCTTCGAGTGATTTCCGCTTCGGAATTGGTTTAAGGTTAACCTCTTCAATCGGTTCTGTTGGCTTAGGAAGGTGTTTTGCAGTTACTTGTTTCAGTACATTAGATGTCTCTTCAATTGATTTCTCTTTAACAATATTTTGAATTTTATCAGGCATACTCTCATCAGTGGTTTTTACCTTGCGTGGTTCTAAATCCTTTTCTTTAACTTTGGGGATCTTAGGTGTATCATCTAATAAAATTGAAACTGATTTAATTTTATCTTGTACTTGTTCTTCTTCAATTTCTATAAATTCATCGTGTTTTTCCATTTTAACTAAATTAGTTTCTGATCCTTTATCACATTTAGACTCTTTATCAATAGTTACCTGTTCCGCTTCGTTTTTCTTTTCAGTGATTAAATTCCCTTTACCTGTTCGCCACGAAACCACTCTCTCAGTATCTTTTTTCTCCTCTGTAATAGGTACAGACTTGATACGTTGTCCTAAGTCCATTTGGTCTTCAGATTCAACAAATGTGTCCTTTTCAGGTATCGTTCCACTTTTTATAGATATTTTTTCAATTTTTTGTTCATCTTTAGCTAAAGGTTTTCCACGCCTCCATGGTATTTGTTCAGATTTCACATCTTTAGATTGCTTTTCCGTCGTAATTTGCTTAATGCCTTGGATTTTATCGTCATATTTTTCTTTTCTATCAACTAATGGCTTTTCATCAATCTGTGAATGGTCAACGTCCCTTATTTTTAAAATAACAGTATTTTCTTCAGATGTTAAAGATTCTTCAATCATAAGTGTTTCCATTTTTTGTGTAGATTCTTTTCTAACCGGTCTTAGGGATAATTCTGACAGTTTCTCTTTTTTAATTGGAGACTTTTCCATTTTAGTTGGTCTTAATTTAACAGCTTCTTGAGTCCATGGCGTAACTTCTATTGTTCCCTTTTTATTTATATCTGTCTTCAGTTTTTTTATAAGTGATTCTTCGTTGGTTTTTATAGATTCCACATCTACTATCTCTGGTTTCTTTTGTATTTGTTCATCAGTCACATCTTTTAAAATTGTTGTAGTTTCTACGTGTTTAGACTTTTCTTGTCTCGGTTTTCTCCAAAACTGCGTTTTTAGTTTGCTAGGTTCTTTAATTTCTCTTGTTTCTAAGTCTTCGTCAATTATTTTATTAATATTGAGAATACTTGCTGAGGATTCATCAGTCAGTTCTTGCTGTTTTTCCACCTCCATTTGACGAGGTTTTCGCCAATGCTTCACTTGCAAGGATTCTTCTGGAGTAGTACTTTTTGTGCGCCAGGGGACAGATTTTGACATTTTGTTAGTCTCAATGTCTTGTAACTGTTTAACTTTTAGGATATTACTATCTTCTGTAGACTGATAAAATGCTTGACTCGTAATAGTCTTAACATCTTCTGTGAAGCCCGTTACATCTGTTTTATTATGAATAGTCTTGCAGGAGACTGTATTTTGTAATTCTGTAATAAAAAAAGTATACTCGTTGAATGTTTTAAAATATCGGTTATTTTTACTTTATAACATTAAAATGATGCCAAGACGTAACCCAAATGTATGAATATGTCGTTTATTTTTAAATTATTGTTTCTACTCGTTAAGATCCAAGAGAATAAATATAATTATACTGAATAAAGTGGAAACAATAACATACTTTTAATAGATAATTTGGTAGCGAATCAGTTTAAGAAATATGTTGAATTAGTAAAGAAGAGAATTAATCACGAGCGATTTAAAGGCAGGACTGGATAGCAAAAAAAAGTTGGCAGCAGATGCGGGGTTTTTGTTAGACACGTAACTAAATTAAGCTTTTCCAAAAATATATTCTTAATATAGCCGCTGGAATTGCTTAAACATGTATTTAAAGTGACAACAAAAGTTATAAAACCGGTATCATTTCCCTTGCTAATTCAAGTATAATTTTTGAAACAGAGCAAAAACAAATTTTCTTATTCGTTAATATTTCAGTTTTAGTTATTTAGATAAATAAATCATAAACAGTAATCCCTAAAATTGAGATATGTATTCCATCTAATAATTATACATTTATGAATTCAAGATTTATTTTCTCTAAATTTGACAGAAACGTAAACTATCTTGTTATTGTCATGTATACATTGACTTGACAACAATGCCGGGAAACTTATGCTTAAATTAAATATAGTGCATATAATATTAGCATCTTAAAACACATTAATTTTAACTATACCTTTATTAACAGAACAGACTTAAATATGACTAGGACTTTAAACATAAGTTGTTGATAACGGGAAACAAAATGTTCTACCATGACTATTCAAGTAACTTTTGGTCTTTTATTTGAAACAAAATGTTCAATTCTAACATAACTATCTAAGCAACTTTTGCTTTCATTATTAATTGCAATGATGACATTCATTGAACTTATATGCCCAACTTGATAATAGAATTAAAAAAAATGTTTATCAAATAACTGGCACGTCGTTGATATAGAGTTACAGAGGAGCTGATTTTTTTAATTCAATCTAGAACTGAAAAGTAAGAGTGAATGGTGATATGCATTGTAGAATATAATTATGTCACAAAGTGTAAAGTAATGAAGAAGACGCCTGATCATTTCTTCTGAGCAAATTACTCCGGAGTCTGACAGTCTGACCTTCTCACCCGTTATAGTTTTAATTAATCAAAATAGAATATCAATTTTCAATCTCAATTATCCATAGCAGTTGGCTTAACTATCGGGTGTTTATGAATTAAATAACATGTCATATTCGTTTCGTCCTCGTATTATCGTGCTACAGATATAGGATAAATCTTTAATATCTTTAACTAATAATATCCCCCACACGTAACTTTTTAATATTACAAAACTGAAATAAAATTTTAACCACTTTTAATAAATAATATATAAGTAAATGTATCTTGAATTGTTTTGTGTCATTTTAAGTCGACGGGATATTAATGTTTTTAACTTGATTTATGAAGCTTATTCTTAATTGGCTGACATCGTCGTTGGCAACATCCGCTAAATCATAAGCAGGTGAAAAACAAAATAGCTACAGCGATAAAGTTCACACTAAACCAATATCTCTCTATTCAACCAATCTTAAATACAAAAACATAACAAAGAAGTCTTCGAATAGGTATGCATTGCTAAGCATTTTTGTAGCTATGAGCAATAGAGACGCCATTCTTATGCAGTTCTTTTGATAACTGCTTTAAGTTTTCGTGGTCAATTTAAAATTTTAATTTCAAAAACTTTGATAATTAAATAATCGTTAGTTGAGAAAAAAAATTACTTCATCTATGATCTATAATGACAGATTCAGTTTACGTACTACGATAATATTAAAAATAGAGGCATTGTATTTTTCCCATTTGGTATAGTCCCTCTTTACCACACAATTGAGACACGACTAACTAGCTTTTAATTAAAGGGGTTTTAGTATTTAGGATACACAATAGTCAACAAGTACTTAATTTTGAACTGTTCAGAATAATAATAATCTAAAGAAAACAATATTAACAATCCCAACGAAAGCTACGTAAAATTATCATTTAAAATTTTTTTTTCATAACAGAGTAACAATATTAAGGCTTTTCCTCTGATTATTTTTTCAATTTTAAGACGGATATACTATTGTAACAATTTTTTTGTTTAAAGTAATTCTAAATTAATTATTTTTCGCTGGTCGTTTAGCCGTATATTTTTTTCGCGATATATTATATTCATTATAGAACTTAACTAGTAAACTATTTCAAATTATTACACTTCTTGCAAAAGTAAAACGTTTAAAAGTCACTCATTTTTGTGCAATGAGTCGCTGAGTTTTAGTTACTGCCTTTATACTACTATGTATTTAAATAAAAGAAAACAGAAATATATTATTAATAACAATGTTACTACCAATATCATTCATGTCTACGTTCGGTAATTATAATTTTCCTTACCTCCTCTAAATACTTACGCTTCTTGGTATACGTTTTGGCTTCTTGTTGTCACTGTACTCTTAATAAGTGTAATTGCAAAAAATATTTATGTATTTATAATTTGCAATGATTATATGTTTGTTCTCATTTAATTATTGAAACGTTAAATAGTGAATAAATAAAAATTCTGTGTTATGTTTATGTGTTCCAAGTCTAGATAATGTTGCCTCTTTTGTCTTTCAAACTGTCTTTAAAGAACTCTTTTTCATTATGCTCATATTGCAAGATGATATTATTATTATTTTTTGAAATCTGTTAATAACTACTCCTGAACATAAACCATAGGGAAAGAATAATTTTTATGTAATGAATTTGAGTCCATCGTGATTAAAGAATTAGTTGATAAGGGTCACTTGCAAGTGATAAAACTATATTAGAATAAAGTTAATTAACTGCTTAGTTACAACAGTAGCAAAGAGAAAGGTCTGGCTAAACTAAATTCCCAAGTAAACAGCGTGAAGCCTATAGAAGAACGACATTTGTAGTTGGTGTAAAGCATGTCGATGAGGCGAAGGGTTGAACGACTCTCCCGTTGAGTGAAAATGGGTGACCGAGAGTCATAATTCAAATACCAAACGTTGTAAACCACAGTAGAAATATGTCATGAGAGTTATTTATGTAAAAAAACATGTCATCGCACTTTGTCGTTGTTGTTTTGTGTCTCAGGAATTTTCACATTGACTGTGATTGTTGCTGCGTGTGTTGAATAATGCGAAATGGTAATTAATTTATAGCATTTATTAAACAGTTTTCACATAAAGGTAACATACAAAATTTGCGTAATAAATATAGTATTAAATATGGATAGGTAGGCACTAAAATATTTAGTGATAAAATACTGTCACGCCTAAAAATACACTTAGGTGAAACATACAACACAATTTAATTTTTAACAATATCGTGCACTTAAAACAAAGTTAAAGATCACTGAAAAGTTAACTATAAATCTCATTCAATTCGGATTTGTACTTGCAGAAAACATTAGGTCATCAAAATCGGCAGTGTTTTTCAAAACATAGAAACTGGCAAGGCAAGTAATGCGTGCGTACTTTGCTAAAGTGGTGCGCCGCAATGGTAAGCGACTAACACTAGTTTATGTTTCTTTGTCATAGGAGAGTTGACAGCGGAATATGGGATTGTTTGCTGTATAATATATATTAACGGTTAAAATTTGCGCTACGCGTGAACGAACCACCCACAGCCCATTGCACCCACAATCGCTGAATTCACATATCAATAAAATCGCGGCCTTTAAACAGGTACGGCGTAGCACTGTCACAGTTAGTCGTAGCTGTTAGACGAAATAGGGCGAGGTTATGGCGGTTACATACCGCTGCCTACCCGCAGCTGAATTAGACCAGACATTATAAAACTCAAGCCAATACCTGACACGACTATACAAACGGTGATTCATGCTTAAGGATAAAGCCAAAGTTTAGTTGAATGATTTAAATGTAAATACAATGATAACGTTCGTTTTTAATAGATGACAAAAAAATGAAAACGTTAGATAAAACTGAGATCCCTGAAAATGTTTTATATTTCGATCTCAGTTAAACACATAAAGCATTAAAAGTAAAAAGATTCGTTTTTGTTAATATTACGAGATAAACCTTTACTTTAAGCGCAAGCTTATTATTCATTATTATAAAAGAGTATTGGGTGAAAAATACATCTGACATTTTTTCATTAGACGCGGCAAATGTATAACGTAATAAAAATGTGTTGATTTAAAATTTTTGTCGTAAATAACGAAAACTTTTAGTAAACATCGTAGCGGTAAAAGCAAAACAATACAACTGTATAATATTTGTATTCGTGTTAATCACATGTTACGTGTATCCCAAATTTACAGAAGCTCGTGACACGTTGTCCCTCGATGATCTCCAAACGTAGCTTGCCTCGTCGAACGTCTAGGACTATTTACACAAAAAGCTTTAATATACAGCATTGTTAGATGCGAAAAATTCGCGCAGATTAACCTACAAGTTATGTTCATTGTTGAATTCATCAAAATATGTATGTTAGATAACGCGCACACTGTGGTCACGTCCACGCGCGCGTAATGGCTGCGTTAATGCATTAAAAATTAACGCATTTCATTAAATGTACATTTACGATAATTTTCGCGAATACGAATTTTTATAACATAACGAATACAGCTCGAAAATAACTTAGCGGGCGGAGTCGTTACTGCGGGAACCGCTACGATTGTGTGAAGCAATGTATTTCGCTTGTCAACTTAAATTAATCCTATGTTGGAGTAGTTTTCACCCGATCTCATTGATGTATAGAGATGAAACAAAGAAACACTAAATTAATGGATTAAAGTGCGCGACGCGAGCTCGCTGCCTGTATCTATGTCTTACTTTTGACGACTAGCTTTGCGGAGGTCTCGACTTGGCCCGCGGTAGTTGTGGCGCGGCAGGTGAAGGTGCCAGTATCCTCTTCGTATGTGTTACCAATGAGCAATACAGCATTATTACCTTCGTGAATCATCTGAAAATAATTGAAGATTTTAAATTATTGTTCTGGTTATTTAGATTCTTAATCCTATTCTGTTGTTGGATCTTTACTTAACAGACTTGAAAAGTGTCCACTTAACTAAAACTTCAGATGTAACAATTTGTGGAATAATTACTTACTTGAAAATCGGGAGTTTCAGGTATAAGTGCTCCTTCACGAAGCCATTGAATCGTTGGCTTGATTTTGCTAGTAATGTTTGTTTTGAATTGTGCCGGTTGCCCTTCGTATACCACAACGTCGCGCAGTGGAGTGAGTGTTGGTAAATTATCAGCTTGGTCAGGCTGTATAACCTTCAACTTAGCAGCTACAGTAACTCTGCCCGCAGAATTATAAGCGACGCACTTGTAGTCGCCCTCATCTTCTGGGAAAGCCTCAGAAATACGCAAAGTATAATCATCCGCTGCTCGAGACATTTGGAAGTATTTTGATGGTTTTATCAACTTTTCACCCTTATACCATTGCACTGTAGGCGTTGGCTTACCCACTATCTTGCAGCCAAATTCAATAGCCTGTCCTTCAGTAACAACTCTATCTTTCAGAGGCTCAATTATTTCAGGTGGTGCATTGGCAACTTTAGTTTGAGGTTTTGGTTTTTCTTTGGTTGCGGGGGCAGTAACTAAACATTCAGCATCACACCTTGCTTCTCCAGCGCTGTTGATAGCAACACACTCATATTTACCCGAATCTTGTGGATAAGCTTCCAGAATAAGCAACGTGTATGTACCGTCCTCTTCTAGGATTTTGTTCTTTATATCGGGCTGAACTTTTTTGCCATTCTTTAGCCAATAGACATCGATGGGCTTTGTTCCAGTAACTTTTGTGTCAAATCGTACTAGCTGCCCGGCTGTTACGTTAACGTTCTGTGATGTCAAAGTAAAGCTTGGAGGAATGATACCACCTCTGCCTTGCCGCCTTCTTTCTTCTACCACCAAATTGGCACTACATTTCGCAGTACCCCCTCTATTTTCCGCTACAGCCGCAAACACGGCTGAGTCTTCAACGAAAACTTGTCGTATGATAAGAATTGATTTAGTACTGAACGTATGAATTTGGAAATCAGGAGAATTTTTTATCGGGAAATTTTCTCGATACCATTTTATGGTCGGCAGTGGATCACCATCAAATTCAACTTCAAATCTAGCTTGTTCATGTTCAAAGACACGACAGGGTTGCATCTTCTTAGTAAAAACGGGTGGCTTACAAGGTTTTACAGGTCCCTCCACAACCCGTTCGTGAGTTTGTCCTTTATGTTCAACTTCTGTGGTTTCGGTTGATATTATTTTACGTGTTATTTCAGTATCACCGACGACTTCCTTCTGAATTTGTTTTTGTTTAGCTACATGCACTTCCTTGCCATGTACAATGGATTCAGATGGTTCTGGGATTCTTGGCTTGAAACCTTTCTTTTGCACGTGTTTTTCAATAACTTCTTCAGTTTGTTCCCTGTAATACATAACGTGTCATTAGTTAGCGGTTATAAAAAAAATCAATGATTCAATTTTCTTTTTATAAATAACTCACAAGTTATCTTGATACTTTTGCGCCATTGACCTTGCTACGGAGCTGCTTGTAACTTTTTCTCCAGGAATAGCGTACTGATGGGTTGATTCTCTAAATCTGCTTTCTTTTACTACTTGCTCATTCTCCAGTTCCTGAAGTTTGTTATAATATTCTTCGCTCTTCTTCTTTTTGACACTTTGCTGCCATTCAGTTTCGGGCTCTTTAATGACCTTTGGTTTCAACTCTGGTCTATGGTCAATCACGCCTTGGCGTTGCATTACTTGCCTTTCCTCGAAGGTTTTTTCTAATTCTGTTCCAGTTCGTTGGTATTGCGTTGTTTCGTCGTACCAAGCTGCACACACAATTAATATTTTACAAATTTATATTCATTCGCAGAACTATATTTTTCTTGCATATCACAAACATACCTTCAAAAATATCCGTTGCCAAGCCAGCAGAAGCAGGTAATTTAGCAGCACATCGCAGGTATGAAGGTTAAATTGATTGGGGGAAAGGAAGCAAAGGTTTATATATTGTGCTTAAGCAGTGAGTTTGTGTTTGCAAGAGTTTTAAAGTGTGTTAACATAGTATATTCAAGCTATACCCAATATATATATGCAGCTATGTCAGGTTTGGTGCAAAAAAGCTAGCATTTTTTTTTACTTTCATAACTTCATTTTAACTTCATTCAAATCTATATAATAAATCATCGGTGAGTTAATTATGGAATACTTACGTCTTGGAGCGTTTTTAAGAACGCTTCTGTAATCGTCATGTCGCGGTACTACTTTAAGTTCTGTCGTAGCAACTGCTTCGCCTACAGAACTCCTGGCAATTACCTCAATTTTACCCGTATCGTACTGCCTCGTTTTGGGTATATCAAAGTGATACATTCCGTCGTAAGTGAGTTTATATCTTGAACCCTATTAATAAAAAACATTATTTAAATTTATATCAATCAATCAATCAAACAAAAATCTTTATTCAAATAGACGCTTGCGTGTTCTTATGAATCGTCAAATTTTACATAAAAAATTATACATGTTCGTAAGGTACCACCGGTTCGGAAAGCAGTTTCTGTTGAGAAGAGACCGGCAAGAAATTCAACAGTTGCTCTTTTTCAAAGATATCAGTTTACAATATAAAATACCGGTATAATACATTGAGATAAAACATTTTTTTTTAAAAAAAAGGACGATTAGTTACGAAGAGAATCGAACCCACGTCTTCCAGATTCGCGCCCAGGCGCTTTAACCACTAAGGTAAGTTTGATACCCACACCGACGAATTACTCAACATTTTTTATCTACATTGTTTTTTCGCACTTCAAGCAATGCTTGGTGCATCTATTGTTATACCGTTAAATAAACATTATGCTTTATCATACATGATATCATTAATTTTAAACGTATCTGTAAATTTGTCTTACGTTGACTATGGTGTTCCCATTGATCAGCCACATAACGCGTGGCTTTGGATGACCAGTAACACGACAGCAGAAGCGAGCCCATTCCCCTTCCTCAACTGTTACCGGTTCTGGCTTGCTCACGAATACAGGAGCACAACGTTCTTTTGTTTCTTCTACTGTCTGCTCCGGAGCACTAACAATTTTTTTAATTATTATAACTTTTAATTATTCTTTAATTTCTATCCCTGATATAATTAATCGAGATTACTCATTGAATTAGAAGGTAACGAAATCACTTGTTTTGTTTACATACCATTAATGTACGTTTAAAAGAGGACAAGGAAACTATTATGTGGGCAATTAAGTTTTAACTTGGCAGTTTAATAATTATTATGTCCTGACTTAAAAATTTATAGGTTTAACTTTTTATACTTACACTTGCCATGAAGCTTCCATTTCTCGAATTTTCTCAATACTCTTCATGTGTTTTGGTAGTTGAGAATCATACACTATACCAGGCTTACCAGCCGTTTTAATTACAGCTCTTGTTTCATCCATACCGTACAAATTAGTTGCACGACATAAATATTCGCCACTGTCTTCAGGGTACACCCAACCGAAATTCATCGCCACATAGCCGAAATCGTAAATGGGTGTAAAACGATTTTCTGAAAGATAAAAATTTAAAATTAAAATTAAAACAAAAGTATTTCCAGAGTGCATTGACTTATTATATATAATGATTAAGTAAATGTTACTACATACTATGTAAAAGCGGCTTCCCATTAAAGAACCATTCTACTTTCATGTTAGGGTCTCCTACTGGTGCCAACTGACATTCAAACTTAGTGGATTCCATCTCAACTAAAGTCGTCTGACTCTGAATTTGTGTGACAAACCGTGGCGGTTGCTTCTTGTCAGCATCGTAAAGATCATCTTCCGTTAAAAATACTTCAGACGTATATTTTTTAATAGTAGCCTCCATTTGGGTAAGAGCTTCAGATTTCTTCATTCCTCGAGGAACTTGATTTTGTAATATAATATCTGGTAAACCTACACATAAAAGAAAAATTATTTGTTTAAACTGTAAATGTATAAAAAAACAAGATCGACTTGTACTTATGACCGTTGAATGAGTGCCAATATATAAAAACACAAAAATTGTCACTTACGTTTGCACGATACCGTAGCTTTAGTAGTGTCCTCGCCAAAATCATTGACTGCACGGCAAACATATTCACCCGAATCTTCAGCGTATACGTACAAAATGTCGAGCGAAACGAACCCCATATCGTATACGGTTCGGAATCTGTGTCCCGATGGTAACAGTTTACCATTCCTATACCATTCGATACGTAGCTTTGGATCCTCCTTTGGCTCCACTCTGCATTCGAATCGTACTGCTTCCGATTCCTCAATTGTATGTGATTGTATCTGTGTTATAAATTTTGGTGGGCTATTAACAACATGTTCTTCTTTAGGGACATCACTAATTCGCCCCCTTTCTAGTTCCTTAATTTTCTCGCCGCTCATACCCTGCGGCAACTGCGAATCCAAGACAATATCTCGTTTCGTGCTACATGTAATTTTAGCGGTAGTTGTTGCAGAACCCCATTTGTTTGTAGCACGGCAAGTATATTCGCCTGCATCACGGGTATAAACATAGTCAATATCAAGAGCAATGAATCCGAAATCGTTCAGCATGTGAACCCGGGAACCAGTCGCAAATGGTCTTCCGTTGTGGAACCAGTCAATCCTCATTGTAGAATCGCCCACAGGCTCTACGCGACAGTCAAAATGAATCGGTCCCCCTTCCGGTACATCAAGGTTGTCTTTAATTTCAACCGTAAACCTCGGCGGATTTGGTTTCTCGTCTTCAATTGTGATTTCTTCGCGTTTGTACAGTGTTTCTTCTAATTTCTGGATGCTTTCTGTTCCCGACTTAAAATGAGATGGAAGTTGAGGCTCAAGAATAATTCCTTGCCTGCCTTTCACTTGTAGTTTACAAGAAACCGTTGCTTCACCGTGTCTATTAGTAGCTTTGCATGTATAAAGTCCAGCATCGCGCTGATATACTCCACCAATTTCCAGAATAACAAACCCAAAATCATTGATAGTTTTTACTCTAGATCCAGTAAGAAGTGGTTTGCCATTGTGGAACCACTCAACTCTCATACTGGAGTCATTTACAGGAATTAACCGGCATTCGAAATGAGCAGAAGAATTCTCAGATAAAATTTGATCCGACGGAGTTGTTATAAACTCTGGTGGATTTCCGCTTTCAGCCTCTGGAGTCATTGAGTCGACAGTTCCAGTATATCCTTCGAGAGCTGCAATTTTATCTATGGTTCCTTCCATTCCCTTGGGTAGTTGGGATTCCAAAATAATATTTCTCTTTCCTTGTACTTTCATAGTCGCTGTAGTTACAGCTTCTCCGTAATTGTTGTAAGCTCTACATAAATACTCTCCAGAGTCTTCAGGATATGTAGGTGATATTTCAAGAATAACAAAACCGAAGTCACAGAAAGTTCTAAACCTAGAACCAGCTTTTAAAGATTTACCATTCCAGTACCACTCCACCTAATAACATACAATACATGAAGAATTAATGACAAAAACCGATATGTAATAAACATATAAATCAATATATAATATATAAAATAATATATAATTTGGGTAATTATAAAATTTTTATAGGTATTTTGTACCGTTTAAAAAATTATGATTATTACGATACGTAAAAATTTTACTATAATAATACGCGCACACACCGTCAGCCAAAAAGCGACAAGATGAAGTACGTTGCAAAGCGAGCAACTTCACGGTACCATGGCAATCAATATCAGCCTCTTGGCATGGGATAAAAATTTTAGTTATTTTTCTTTTGTTTCTCTAAAGAAGTATAACTACTTATATGCGTACATAAGTACACAAATATTTTTTTAGAGTGACATACCTTCAAGTTAGGATCATCTGTAGGAATCAAACGTGCTTCGAAATGAGCATTTTCGCCTTCTCTTAAGTTTTCAATATTGGATAACGGTACAGTGAAGACAGGTGCTTTACCCCTTTCTTCGTCAATAGAAATTTCTTTTTTGCGTATCATAGAGTCTTCCAATGTTTGAAGCTTTTCTAAACCTCCTTCCATGCCCTATGAAAAAATAAATAAAAACTACTCATTTTATGCAAATTTAAGCTTCATATAGTAATAAGCAGTACATGAAGTATTGAAAGACGAATCTATAATTCTTAAACTTTGATGACTCCGTGGCGCAGTTGCCAAGGTATTGGCTTCGGCATCGGGGGTCGTGGGTTCGATTCCCACACGGGACAACTATTGGTGTAACCCACAAATAGTTGTTTCGCATCTGGGTGTTTGTCCGCGTGAAATTTATGTTTGTAATCATCCTTTACAACACAGGATAATATTATCCTAAAGTAAGGGCAGTGTTTTTAAAAGGAAAAAAAAAAATAAAAAATAATCTAAGGAATATAAGCTTTAGTACACAAAATAAACAAGTGGCATGTAATAAATAGAAAATTGGTGTGAAATAACTACTTTTTCTTGTTCAATTAAGTTTTTCATGTACTACATGTGTAATATTCATTGTTTAAGTATGAAATAAAACTCACCCGCGGGAGTTGCGAGTCCAAGATTAAATTCTCCTTTGACGTACATTTTAGAGTTGCTTTCGTTGAATCACGACCCAATTTATTGGTGGCTATGCATTCATATTCACCGGAGTTTTCTTCATAACAATATAAAATATCCAAAATTACGATGCCAAAGTCATGGAAAGTTCTGTATCTGTGCCCGTGAGGTAATTTCTTGCCGTTATAGTACCACTCCACCTTAAGGTCCGGGTCATCGACTGGTACCAGTCTAGCTTCAAAGTGTGCACTTTGACCTTCAACTAATTTAGTTACATCCTGGATTTGTGTTATAAATTTAGGTGGTTCTGCAGAAGCTGGGGCTGGGGCTTGTTGTTGTGCGCCCTGCGAATTCTCCAACTCCCTTATCTTAGCTAGTGAATCTGGCTGTAAGCTGTCTAAATAAACTCCTCCTTTACCGTAACACGTAATTGTCGCTTTTGTGAAATCTTCACCGTATTTATTATATGCTCGACATACATATTCACCTGTGTCATGGTTTTGCGTATATGCTATATCTAAAACAACAAAACCAAAATCTGAAACAGTTTTTATTCTAGTTGAATGACGCAATGGTTGGCCGTTGTGGTACCATTCGATTTTCATGTCAGGGTCATCAACAGGTACAACAGTACATTCGAAATGGGCCGATTGACCATCTTTAAGGCCTTCAATATTTTGTATGTGTGTTGTAAACCTAGGCTTTTGGCCCTTGCTTTTATCGACACAATCCAATTTGCAGCTTATTTCTGCTTGACCCCATTTATTTGTAGCTCGACAAGAATATATTCCGGAGTCAGATGTCTTCGTTCCGAGTATTTCTAAAACGACCATTCCAAAAGCGTAAACGGTTCGGATACGATGGCTTGCTTCAATAGCCTTACCATTGTAAAACCATTCAATGATCATACTTTGGTCTCCAGTCGGTATAAGAGATGCCTCATAATGGGCAATTTGGCCTTCACTTATGTCAGCTATATCCTGGAACACTGTTGTAAATTCAGGTGGTCTTCCTGTATCATCGTCCGTTTTCTGACTTGGCTCTTTACGAAGAGAGTCCTCTAAGTTTTGAATCTTTTCCAGCCCTTCGGCACCTTTAGGATGCTGAGTTTTTTCAATTAGGTTTTCCTTGCTTGTACAATATACGGTGGAAGATGTAAAAGCCTCACCTTTTTTATTGTAAGCTTTGCACGTGTATATGCCACTATCTCTTTCATACACATCAATCAAATCTAACGTGACGAATCCAAAGTCGCTTGTAAGTTTAAATCTCGCGCCTTGCTCTAAAACTTTTCCATTGAAATACCATTCTAATTTTAAGCTGGGATCATTTTTGGGTTCCACTTGACCTTCGAAGTGAAGCGCTTGTCCTTCTATTAGGTTATTCTCTGGAGCAATTGGTACTACCCATTCAGGTGCCGGATATTCAGTATCAGGAACAGAAGTTCTTCTGCCCTTCGAAAGCCTAGCTTCTTCAGCTTGTTCAACAGCTTCAAGGCCTGCCTTTCCTTGGGGATGTTGTGTATCGAAATAAATGTGTTTGTCTCCAGTACACCTCAAAGAACCGGAGGTAGTAGCTGAACCTTTAGAGTTAGTTGCTTTACATGTATAAATCCCAGAATCTTCCTCATAAGTGTGCGTTATATCTAAAGCTACATAACTGAAGTCATGAGTGCTTTTGTATCTTGTTCCAGAAGGAAGAGGTTTGCTGTTGAAAAACCATTCTATCTTCAGAGTGGGATCCCTGGAGGGCTCAACATTACATTCAAAATGAATATTATTACCTTCTTTGCATACGATATTATTCAGATGAGAAATAAACACTGGTATTTCATATACAGGCTCCGGTGATTCTGGTTTGGCAGGTTTAGGTTGTTCTAATGCTCCAATTCTGTCCAAGGATTCGGGGTGAAGGGATTCACCAAGCAGCCAATGTCGGTCTTCAATTTTGATTGATGCTGTAGATACAGCCTCTCCCATTTGGTTTGTAGCTTTGCATGTGTAAATACCTGAATCGTCAATCCTCAATGAATTAATAGCAAGCGTAACCAAACCAAAATCGAATGTGCTCTTTAATCTAGATCCGGTAGTTAAAGAAACTCCGTTCTTATACCATTCAATCCTTAAATTAGGATCAGTTCGTGGCTCCACTTGAGCTTCTAAGTGAACATGTTGTCCTTCTACCAATTTGTCGTAACTTTTAAGATGAGTAGTGAAAATAGGTGCTTGTTGCACTCCTGTGTCAACAAACATTTCCGGAACTTTATTCATAGCCGCCTCCTTCAATTGTATCTGTTCCCAAGATTCAGGTCTCATGGTTTGATCTACTATTGTAGATTTTGTCTTTACTTTAAGCGATGCGGAGGAGACTGTACTACCAGCTTTGTTAATCGCTTTACACATGTATAAGCCAGCATCATCAGCAACAACTGAATTTATGTCCAATGTGATAAAACCAAAGTCGTGGGTTGTACGGAATCGTGAACCTAAAAATTAAATATTATTTTAATATGGCTATTAATTTGATTAAAAAATATAGCCTTCAAAACGAAGAATGCATTAAAAAACTAAATTACATCATACTCGGAATGGACATTGAGAATGGTCCGACTTGTGAACGTAATTACTGATGTGACAAATGGACCAATTAATTGAAAAGTAACGGGAGATTTTAAAAAAATCATTTAATTTTATAAAATAACTATATTTGTATTTGCTTACCCATTTTAAGTTCCACTCCATTAATATACCATTCAAAACGCATACTCGGATCTCCAACAGGTACTACACGTGCTTCGTAATGAGCGTGTTGACCTTCCCATAATTCTGAAGGACCTGTTAAAACTTGGGTAAATATAGGTTTTTCAAATTCTCTTTCGGCTTCATCTGTTTTTTTATTTTGCGGCTCTTCTAATCTTTGTATTTTCTTCATGCCCTCCGGATGTTGCGTCTCCATCTGTATAGCTGCTTTGGCTGCGCAAAAAATCAAATTAAAATTTAATTCCATTGATGAAAAATAAGATGTAATAATTATCATATAAAAACATTTTTACTTACTTTTTATTTTCATGGCAGCTGTTGTTACCGCTTCTCCTAGTAAGTTCGACGCCCTGCACATGTACACTCCTTCGTCTTCATCGCGAACGTGAGTAATTGTCATAGATACGTAGCCAAAATCATGGGTTTTCGTAATTCTGGAACTGTCTTCAATGAGCTTTTCATTACGGAACCATTCAACTTTTAGTGTAGGGTCACCAACTGGAATTAGTCTACAGTCGAAATGGGCAGTCTGACCTTCTTGTATGTTGTCAATATTTTGAAGTGGTTGTGTAAATACAGGCCGCTGCCTTGTGACTGGCTCTGGAATTTCTGGTCGCTTAAAAGGTTCGGCAGATTCTAACTCTTTTATTTTCTCTAAGCCTTCAGGACGTTGAGATTCCGATATAATGCTACCTTTTGCGGTTACAGTCATTGATATAGCAGAGGTGGATTGGCCCAACGCATTGATAGCTTTAACAGAGTATTCTCCAGCGTCCTCTGGTACACAATGCTGAATATCCAATGACACGTAACCAAAATCAAAAGTTATATGGAATCGTGACGCAGATTGCAAGGCTTTTCCATTATGATAAAACTCAATCCGTAAGTTTGGATCATGTACTGGTTCAACTTGACATTCGAAATGAGCCGTTTGGCCTTCATATACGTGTGTTGTTCCTCGCAGTTCAGTGACAAAACGAGGTGAAGAGATTTTAGGTTCTTCGACTTCAATTCTGGCAGGATGGCCTTGTGATTCAAGTTGCCTAATCTTCTCCAAGCCATTCGGATGTTGAGTGTCCAAAATAATATTTCTGTGCCCTAAAATTATTAAAAAAAACAGAATGACACACTAAAATAAACAAAATATAACTCGGTATTTGCAATTATGTTGTAATTCATTAATTCAATCTTACCTGCCACCTTCAACGTGCACGTATTAACTGCCTCACCAAGTTTGTTTGTGGCTTTACACATGTATGTTCCAGAATCTTCACTATAAGTATATAATATATCTAAGGCAACGTAACCAAAGTCATGTGTAGTTCTAAATCTATGACCAGTTTTAATCCTCTGACCGTTAAGGAACCACTCTATTTTTAAGTCAGGGTCGTTTATAGGCTCCACCCTACATTCAAAGTGAGCACGGTCACCTTCTTTGAGATTTTCGAGACTTGTTAAAGCGGTTAAAAATACTGGTCTTTGACCTGGAAGTTCCTCTTCTACTGGTTTTGGTCGCTCATATTTTTCTAATTCTTGGATTTTCTTTAATCTTTGCTCATCCAACGTATCCAAGTACAATGATTCTTTTGCTATAATGCAAAATTATTAAGAGATTATTTTAATTGTTATAACTTGAGATTAAAATAATGTGACAAAATCTGATACACATAAAGTGTTAATTTAATTGACTTTTATCTTTTTTTACGGTCCTATTAAAAGAATTAAATTTATTAGTTACCCTCGCATTCGAATAATTACAATGAAAATAAAAAAATACTCTCAAAAGTCTACATTTTAATTATAAAAACCGTATACTTATGAACGCACGTAAGAAGTTATTCTTCTTTATCGGAAAGACATTAAACGCAATTGATAATGGTTTATTTTAATAACTTAGAGTTATTGGTAAATGAAGAAAAGAAGTATAACTTCAAAAAAATTACACCATACAATGTGTTATTTTTTTGAATTGACTTTTAGGAACCAAACCGTATCAATCTTATTCTGTACAGTAAAAATATAAGTTATAAATCAATTTTAGTACTTACCATTAACTTTGACTGAGCTTGTTGTAACAGCTTCACCCACTGCATTTGTAGCTTTACACATGTATGTACCTGTATCTTCTGCGTAAGCATATAAAATGTCTAAAGCCACGTATCCAAAATCATACGTTGTCTTAAATCTATGACCCTGTTGTATAGGTTTTCCATTACAATACCACTCCACTCTCATCGTTGGATCATTAACAGGTGTTAATGTGGCTTCTAAATGTACAGGTTTACCTTCGGAAACTTCGGCATTTTTAATTGGTTTTCCGAACTGAGGCTTCTCAGCTATAAAACTTTCGTCATGAGTTACTCGTTTATATCTACTATCGTCCTCTAGATATTGAATCTTTTCTAGAGCACTTTCATGTTGTGAATCTCTTATGATAGATTCTTTAGCTAAAATCAAAATAAATTTATGAAGGAAATGTCCCGAAAAAGCAGCAATAAATAAATAAAACTTAAACTTAACTCACACTGAACGTTCAGCTTTATCGATGATACTGCTTGTCCTAAGTTATTGATCACTTTGCAGGTGTATTCACCGGAGTCTTCGCCATAAACAGTTAGTATATCGAGAGCGGCAAATCCAAAATCATAAGCAGTGCGGTAGCGATGGCCACTTTGTAGAACTTTCCCATTAAAGTACCATTCCACGCGCATATTAGGATCCGGATAAGGTTCAATACGACATTCGTAATGAGCGCTCTGCCCTTCTATTAACTTTGTTGGTCCATTTAGGTGAGTAACAAATCTAGGTGCTTGGTTCACTGCTACTTCAACATCTTCTCTGCGTTGATAACGAGTAGAGTCTTCTAATTGCTGTATTTTTTCCAAAGCAGACTCATGCTGCGATTCAAGTTGAAGCGATGCTTTTGCTTTAAAAATATTTTTTATTAGTAACTATACATGCACAAAGTATAGAAGAACTTAAAGTATCAGCCTATACATGTCCTACTGCTGGGCAAAGGCCTCCTCTGTACAGAGGGAGAACTAGAACTTAAACATAATTTCATTAATGCACAATATAATATAGACAAAAAATTAGATAATCTAAAAATGTGACATTATAAAGAAACTCACATTGCACAAATAATGTGGATGATGTTACTGCTTCGCCTAATTCGTTAACAGCACGACATGTGTAAGTACCCGAATCTTCAGGATTTACGTATTTCATATTCAGGGCAACATATCCGAAGTCGTGCATTGTAGTAATACGATTCGCTGAAAACATGTATGCAATGCAAAATTTAAATTTTGAAATCAAATTTAATTCAATTTCTTTATTTTTATATTAATTTTATTTTTATTTTACATGTGGTACTCTTAGATATTTATTAAATATATAACATTTATAGGCTAAATAAATTACTTACAGGCTGTTATTGGTACACCGTTTCGCAACCACTCAACGCGCAGTTTGGGATCGCCAACGGGAATTAGTCTAGCCTCGAAGTGTACCGCCTGGTTTTCGGCTACTTTTATGTCTTTCATTGGCATTGTAAATACTGGTGCTTGCGTTGTCAATTCATCTTGTGCAATAGGCCGTTGATACCTAGATGACTCTAATTGATTTAATCTAGGAAGGGCACTTTCATGTTGCGATTCCAAATAAATTGACTTCTTGGAATGCACGATTGCGGTCCCAGAAGTAACTGCTTCACCCAAGGCATTGATGGCTCGGCAAGTGTACGTACCAGAATCTTCTGGCAAGCATGACATTATATCAAGTGCTACAAATCCAAAATTATTTGTTTCAGTAAATCTTGAGCCACTCTTTAAAGGCTTGTTATTGTGATACCATTCTACCTTCATTGTTGAATCCGATACTGGTATAAGACGGCATTCAAAGTGAGCGCGTTGGCCTTCTTTTATTTCAATGTTCTTGAGAGAGGTTGTAAATATTGGTGCTTGTGTAGTAGCTTCATCTATAACGCTGGTTTTGGAATATTTGGATCGATCTTCAAGAACTTGTATCTGTTCTAAACCAGCCTCATTTTGGGTAGCCCTGATAATATCAGCCGTGCTGCGGCAAGATAATTTGCAAGTTACTTCGTCACTTCCAACTAAGTTAACGGCTCGGCATGTGTATATACCGGAATCTTCAGCAATCAAATCTATTATATCTAGTGCTACGTAACCAAAGTCATGTATGGGTCTAAATCGATGGCCAATGGTTACAGGCTGACCATTTTTAAACCATTCAACCTTCAAATTGGGATCCGTTACTGGTTCTAATTTACATTCAAAATGTACGTGATGTCTCTCCTTGACGTTATCGATGGACTTGGGTTTAGTAACAAAGCGAGGTTTGATATTAAAAGTTTCATCAATTATCTCTGATTTCTTGTAGCGAGAGGCATCTTCTAAGTATTGAATCTTTTCTAGGCCTGATGGGTGCTGGGATTCAAAAATTAGATCCTTTTTAGCTATTACACGTAAAGCACACGAAGTAACCGCCTCACCAAGCTGATTTGTCGCTTGACATGTGTAGACACCCGAGTCTTCAGGATACACACTTAAAAGATCAAGTGCAACGTAATCAAATTCATAAGCTGGTCTAAATCTATGCCCCGTTTTTATTGGTCGGCCGTTACAAAACCATTCCACCTTCATAGTAGGATCACCTACTGGTTGCAACCTGCATTCCAAGTGAACATTAGTGCCCTCTATTGTCTCGATATTATGCAGAGCTCGAGAAAAATGTGGTGCTTGCATGACAGTGATGTCTTCTTGTTGTTGCCTGGTTCGACGTGCAGAATCTTCTAGTAGCTGTATTTGCTCAATCGCTTGTTCGTTTTGCGTATCTGTGAGTACATCCGACCTTTCTATTACACGTACCATAGCAGAAGTGTGAGCAGAACCTAGATGATTAACTGCTCGGACTGTATATTCGCCGGAATCGGCAGAAGTAGCATGAATTATATCCAAGGCTACGAATCCAAAGTCATAGTAAGTTCGAAACCGTGACCCCACTGTAACTGCCCTTCCATTATGATACCATTCAACTCTCATAGTAGGATCTCCCATCGGCTCCAAACGGCATTCTAAATGAATATTTTTTCCTTCAGACACCGGTTGTGGATCTGACAACGGTTGAATAAAAACAGGCTTTGATTTGGAAATTTGCTCTATGTGATACATTGGTTCCACAAATTTAGATTCTTCTATTTGTCGTGTCTTTTCATACAATCCACGATGAATGCTTGATGTGTCAATACTAGATCGAGCTGTAAAAAAAATTTATTGATTATTAATTTGGGGTATTAAGCATTTAGGATACCAATACACACAACAAAAAAAAATTACATACTTTCAACTGTCATTGAAGCACTTAATTGCGCTTCACCGGCAGCATTGCGTGCAACAACAGTGTAAACTCCAGTGTCATCTGATCGTACACCTGATATATCTAACGCTACATATCCAAAGTCATGATAAGTTTGAATTCGATTTGCTGATTTAATTAACTTGCCATTAAAATACCATTCTACGGTCATAGTCAAGTCACTTTGCGGCTCTACTCTTGCTTCAAAGTGAGCACTTTGACCTTCAACTATTTTATTTGTACCTTTTAATGGGCCCAAAAATCGAGGTTTTTGTGTAATTTGCAATTCTTCTTCAGTTCGTCTTGAATATTTACTCGAATCTTCTAAGTATTGAATTTTTTCCAAACCTCCAGGGTGCTGTGATTCGGCTATTATGTCTTTCTTTGTTATAATAGTTAGATTAGCACTTGTCGTCGCTTGACCAAGAGCATTGTAAGCACGACATGTGTAATGGCCAGCGTCATGAATAGTTACAGACTTAATGGTTAATGCAACATATCCGAAGTTGAAGAAGGTGGTGATTCTAGAACTCGCTTCAACAGGGCGTCCATCCTTCAACCATTCTACTTTTAATGTAGAATCACCCACTGGCTCCAAACGAGCTTCAAAATGAGCAAATCCTCCTTCCTTAATATTTATTTGATCTTTTATTGGGGTTTTAAATTCTGGTCTTTGAGTACTTTCCGGTACCTCTTGGTAATATTTCTGATGTTGTTGTTGTTGATATGCTTCTAGCTGTTCGGTTTTTTCTATATATCTTCTCTGCTCTGGAATGCCGAGGTCAGAAGTAACGGTACTCCTGGCTGCTACTCTGATTGTTGCGGTACTGACAGCTTCGCCAAGTTTATTAACAGCCCTCACTGTATACGAACCTGCATCTTCAGCCCGTAGGTGCATGATGTTAAGGGAGACGTAACCGAAGTTGAAGATTGACGTGATTCGCGAACTGGCTGTAATTGGTCTACCATCTTTGTACCACTCAACTCTCATAGTAGGATCACTTACAGGAGTAAGTTGAGCTTCGAAATGAGCATTTCTGCCCTCCTGAAGTTCTCCGAGATCTTGCAAAGGCTTTATAAACTGTGGGCGCTGAGAAATCTGTTCCTCAATTGATTCTTGATGTGCGTACCTTGAATAATCCTCCAGCTGCTGTATATATTGTAAACTTTCAGGGTGTTGGCTAGCCCTTTCAATGGTTGCTCTTGGGGTTACATGTAATATGGCCTTAGTTTCGGCCACGCCTGTACTACTGACAGCTCGGCATGTATATTCTCCACTGTCTTGTATATTAAGACTAAGCATATCTAACGATATGTAACCAAATCTAAAAACAGACGTAAATCTAGAACCTGTAACAATAATACAATTATTAATACTAATTTCGAAAATAGGGTCTCTAATTGTGAATAAATTCAATTGATTCATTCCTTACTAATATTATTATAAATTACTGCAATATATTGCATATTAAGGATGACTCGGTGGTGCCATTGTTAAAGCTATTGGCTTTGGCATCGGGGGTCGAGTAGAGTTTGATAGACCCAGAACAAGTATTTGTGTGAACCATAGATAATTGTTCCGGATCTGGGTGTTTGTTCCCAAGGAAGGTGACGTGAGGCATGCTGCCGGTCGTAAAAAAATAGCCTAAAAAGTTTTTACGAGCTCACTTTGAAAACCATGATTCACATGTTGTGCCAACCCCATCTAGGTGAGATAAATATAGGAGGATGGTGATGATAATGATGATATTTCACATTAAGATTTTGTTTTGGCAGATGAAGATTTTAGGAAAACTTATTATTAAGTAACTTACTGGCTTCAATACTTTGACCATTTCTTAACCATTCAATCTTCATAGAAGGATCACCTACAGGTTCTATTCTTGTTTCAAAATGTATTTTTCCACCTTCCATCTGGGTAAGACTTTTGAGTGGAATAATAAATTGTGGTGGAGGATATACTCTATCTTCTTCTCCTGGAGGAATGTATGGGCGAGCTCTTTCTACATGTCTTAAATATATAATTTCGGGTCCAGGAGCGGGTCTGAAATATTGATATTTTTAAATTTATTTGTACTTTACAAATATATTTTTTATTAATACAAAATTTAAGAAATAGCTTTCTTACTCTGGCTCGATGATCTTTGTAGGTCGCGGTAAGTGCAGACGTTTTTGTTCGGGCAGAGGCTCCTTAGGTACTTCTACATAGAGCCTCGCTCGAGTAGCGGTGGAGCCTGCGACGTTCTGGGCCGTACACTGGTACCATGCCGCATCCGACGCCTTGGCTCGCGGAATGTCCAGCGTCGAGGCCCCACCTTCGGTATTTATTCGTAATTCTGGATTGGGTATAATTGCTACGCCATCCTTCTGCCATGTAATACGTGGTGTAGGTGTGCCGACTGCACGCGCATTAAGCACTACTGGCTCACCTTCACGAACACTTAAGGTGCTAAAACGTTCGACAAATTTGGGAGCCACTACTTGTTCTTTCTCTATAACATTTAATCTGCATTGAAAAGATGTTTCCCCACTTTTGTTGCGCGCCACACACGTAACTACACCGCTGTCACTAAGATCAACATTAGTTATCATTAGTGCATGATTCCCGGATTCGTTCACTAAAATTTTATGATTATAATCGTCTCGAATCTGTCTATCGTTAATGAACCACGTGACTTCTGGGTAAGGTCTGCCAGTGACGCGGCAATCGAATCGCGTCATTTTGCCTTCCGTTACATCACGATCTTGGCAGACCCTTACAAATTGCGGAGCGAGAGCTTTTTCGCTTATTTCTATTCTTTCTTCTGTTCCTGTTTGCTGAGTATCAATAATGTATTGAGATTTTTGGTCCTGAACAAATGTTTCTGTTGGAGATTCAACAGCAAGATAGGCTGATGTGACAATGCATCCATTAGGATTTTCAGCAAGTAATGTGTAATGTCCTGCGTCAGACTTTTGAGTGTTTCTTACTCTAAGTATTGTTTGATTATTACTTGTAACTATTTCGTGTTTATTTGAGTTAGTTATTCTCTGACCATTTTTAAACCAAGTTACCCGGGGCCTCGGGTTGCCTGATAGCTGCACTTGAAACTGAGCATCACTTCCCGTCTGTAATTTAGAGTTTCTTGGCTTTTGTCCTATTTTTGGTGGGGAGATTCCTCCCAGAGTCTTATCAATTTCAGTACTTATATGAATATCACTCTCTCCTATATATCGGCGTGTAATTGATTCACGGAATGAAACTTCTCTTAAGAGTCTGTACTCAAATGTATCAACTTTGAAGTCTTCGATAGAAGAGTAATCAGTGCCATTTGTATAAGCTGTTTTCTGTATCTGACGAGTTTGTTCTGTGGAAAAGCCTTGTGTACCGTAAGACTTATGTTCGACACTTTCACTGACGTGACGATAGCTTTGTTGCTGCGATGATTGATGCGCGGGGACTGGTATACCCTCTGGTTGAATGTACACAGAGCATATTGCTTCACCATATTGATTACGCGCTGTACATGTATACTCGCCTTCATCACCAGGTCCAATTTGCTTGATGAGCAACGAAACATCACCAGTCTGTTCATTGTAATTCATACTATATTTATTGCATTCCACTAATGGAGCCTTTTTTCTTGTCCATGAAACAACTGGCGTAGGATTACCCCTAAGTTTGCCTTCAAACTTCGCGTTACCACCTTGAGCAAATCTCGCATTTTTAAATATTTGCTCAAATATTGGTGGAGAAGGCTCCCCGGGTCTGCCTGCAGTAATTGGCATACGATCACCGGCGCTTTCCACTGAAACAAACAAAAACGCCTTTAATAAAATGAAACGATATTTTTTCCATTACATTTGAAACATTTTAGAGCAGTAATAATTTTTATTTTCACATGTTTTATTTCAAAGATATTTATAGATTTCGAATATGTAAGAAATAGAATAAACCTTCGACAAAATCTTCAATAACAAAAATTATAACGTGAACAACTTATAACATATCACATTAAACAATATGTTTGTAAAAAGACTGAGCTAATGGGAGTGCGTGCGCGCGTCAAAAAAGCCAATAGACTCCGCGTTCCAGTACTCTCGGTCGGGAACGCGTGAGTCATGGCGGTGACGGAACGCTCGAGCTCTTTTTGCGTGGCTATTTTAGTAGCCTCCACTCGGATCTTGTTACAATCGCTGTTTTGGTGGCTTATTAAAAATTCACGTTTGATGGTTGTACTGCCAATGTGTATTTTATATTGGTAATTGATATTAAATTTTCACGGATAGTAAGTAGTTGAGCTTTATTCTTGCTACCTATCTTTAAAAGAAGACCACAAAAAGATGGCCCAAATTTGATGACAGAAACATATGTTTATTTACGTACAATCCCTATTAGTATTATAGTGAGTAGATTCGCCCTTACGGCGCCTTAGTACGGGAATAGTGTTTTTTTTAAGTGTATGAACCGGTCTGTCGTAAGAAAAGCTTGCAATGTGACCGGTTCCTGATGTTGTCATGTCTCGTCCCTAATTCTCGAGTTTTTTTACATGGCAAAACTTACGTATCCTACAATTTTTCAAGTTACATGTTAATATTTCAAGTAGAACCAAGAATTTAGCAAACACAGTGCTTAAGCAATTGCCTTCAGGTCTCTTGGCAATCAAATAAAACAGTTAATTGTTGCGAACAGCAACGACTGGGCACTATTTTCACCATTATAAGATAATGTTGAAAATAGCGCCCAGTCGTTATTTTTATAATCGTTGACAACGTATATAACTTTTTATAATCGTTGACAATGGTCAACGATTATAAAGTTTAATGAAATCCATCTTTCATTTTATTTAACTAATGATTTTGGTAAAACTTTTTCGCAATGTTAATTTTTTGTAGGTCCAGGTCACTTCAAGTATTTCTATATCATGAAATTTCATGCTAATTCAGTACATCATCTCTTACAACTTTGCTTCTTCGTATATATGTGGGCGCATTTTAATTCTAGAAGGCACCGAGGAATATTTTCAGTAATCTGTGTGGGCATTAAGCGTTCGCACTGGCAACCGCCCAACAATTCTCGTAAGTTGATCCTTTTAGAAATAAAAGGTATAATGATATTATAAGCGCAGACAAGAAACTTTAAATACACATGGGAATTAATTTGCATTAATAATCAGGCAGCCTGATAAAAAAAATGTTATTGATAAAATTTACGTAAATTTCATGTAATTATTGAACTTTTGATCTATTTGTTTTTTATGAAATCAAAGCACCTTACGATAAATAAAAACCAGCCAAGTGCGAGTCGGGTATGAAGGGTTCCGTACCACTATCTATGAAAACAGCAAAAAATCATGTCTGTTATATGGAAGCCATACTCAAATATTTTTTATTCTGTTTTTAGTATTTGTTGTTATAGCGGCCACAAAAATACATCATCTGTGAAAATTTCAACTGTTAACCTATCATGATTCATGAGATACAGCCTGGTGACAGACGGACAGACAAACTGCGGAGTCTTATTAATAGGGTCCCGTTTTAACCTTTGGGTACGGAACCCTAAAAACGAATATTTTTATTTATGAAAATATAGGGTAAAATCAATATCAGATTGCTCAATCAATGGTCATATATTTTTCAAAATGTTTTTGTTTTTTAAATTAAGGTTATTTAAATATGTTTATACTTTAAAATATCAGCCGTACCGTACCAAAGATGAAGCGTGTTTACTTTAACAGCTTTAAAGAAAAACATTTTATCGAATTTAAATGAAGTAGTATTTATTCTCCCTCTTGTAAAAATGTGCAAAATTAATGTACATATTAAATTAATAAAACAAACTCCGATACTATCGTTAACGTATATTACATAACGTGACGACAGCTATAGCAAGTTGGATTTGACCTAATCCCAGCGCCATATGGTAGGCGAGCTCTATTGAAGAATCGTGAATCATGACTACTTAGAGACCGTGAACATACCTAGCTCCTATGAGTTTGTTTAACATTTGTTTTTATTAATGATACAATTGTTTAAATTATTCAATTCAAACAAAATGATATAAATATATATATCCATGATTATTATCCATGATAATATATCCATGATTCTTCCAGTAAAAGTTTTCATAATTAGGTCTAGTAACAAAGTAATTTGATTTCACGAAATTTAAAACCCGATTTATAAGATAATATTTCGTTAAATAAATATTTTTCAATTACGATGGTAGGACCACGCAACAGTACTAGCTGTTGCACGAATGGGCAGGTCCGTCCGGATTAGTACCATGACCTCACAGAACACCGGCTTAAAGTAGAAGTGTTGCACTTCTGCGTTTCGTTTGGTGGGTGAGGTAGCCGGGGCCCACATTATTAAGAGGTGACAACACATCTGCAACCCTACGAGTGTTGCAAATGTCCATGGGCAGGCGGTTATCACATCAGGTGAACCGCCAGCTCGTTTGCCACTTTCTGACATAAAAAAAAAAACATTTCTTCAGTCAAGTGATAAATCATTAATTTAAATATTGAATTACAGTCTCACGTGTGTATCTTTATAAAATTTTAATTATCGAACCTACTTTATCTTACTATTTATCTGACTTTTACTATGTTAATGACAATTAATGAAGAAAATATTTATTTTATTCCTTTTATTATTTATTTTATTGTAAAATAGTTCTCGTCGTTTATTTTCTTGCCTTTGTCAACTTTCGATTACATTATTTTGTAAAGACAAATTGGCTTAAAACATCCTTTTCATAACATTTTTTAAATATACGAAACCTTGTCTGTGAAAGGTTATTTGCAGTAATTACTTTGTTTTATTTTGAAATAAAATTTATGAGTGAGTGCATTGATTGTAAAAGTATTTTTTACTAAAAGAAATGTACTGTATGTACCTAGATAATTTATTGATATTTAATATTTTTGTTGATTATAATTGGTCAGCCACTTTAAAGCATACTTATCGTCTCGGAACAGAACTTCGTTAGCGATCAGTCATCGGCAATGATAAACAATTCTTATTACCCACTTTAAAGTACAATTAAGACCCATTTACACGGTGCAAGTTTCTTGCCTGTTGTATACAATTAAATTGAAGCAATAAATGAGTTGCATGGTCTAAACAACAAATGGTCTAACAAATTATTGCGCGCAATTTATTGCATTCAATTATTGCTCTTGTATGTACAAGAAAATGGCATCGTGTAAATGGGCCTTTAGATTTAGACTTTTATCGTGTCAGTTAGCTGTACGCCCTAGAACACTTCGTTCAAATAAATCAATGGGAACCTACCACGTGATGTCTAGTTGACACTCTATGTGAACTCTGTTCCTTAATTTCAAAAACGTGTGTTTACACGACAGTAGTTACAACCAGATCCATTTTGTGACGTACATATTTTGATGCCTAAGATTGAATGAGTGAATGCAATAGTATTATATACTATCATTTGGAAATCAACTTGTGATCTGTGACACAGAAGCTATGGGTTCCAAGCCTCTAAGACATAGTTTCAGTGGAGACATATTATACAATATATAAAGTATTACAGCACAATCAAGTGTTAATGGTGAAGCTGAAAACCAAAGTTAAGTATCGTTAATTTTAAATGTGAATTACAACTAATGCTTATTAACTTTATCACTTACTTAAAGAGATTTAAGACAACGTCGTGTCCAAAGAAACTACTTCGCCGTAACCGTTTGTGAAAAGATTCTTATTAATAAGTTAGGGCCACGCAGCAGCTTCTACTGTTGTACGAATGGGCAGGTTCGTCCGGGGAAGAACGGAGTATTAAAACTATCGCGTTTCGTCTGGTGAGTAAGTTGTGAGGTAATCAGGGCCCTCATTTTTAGAGTGCCGTACCCAAAGGGTAAAACAGGACCCTTATACTAAGACTCCGCTGTCAGTCTGTGTGTCTGTCTGTCTGTCTGCCCGTCTGTTAACAGGCTGTATCTCATAAACCGTGAAAGACAGCTGAAATTTTTACTATTATAGCGGCAACAGAAACATCATGTATTATGACAACGTATATTAACAAAGTAACATATAACCATAAATACTAAAATACAGAATAAAAAAATATTGGGGGGCTCCCATTCATTGACATGATTTTTGCTTATTTTATAGATGATACGGAACCCTTCGACCACGAGTCCGACTCGCACTTGGCTGGTTTTTAAGGTCAGGCATCAGCAAGCCATCGGGTGTAGTAGATTTCCATGGGCGGTGGGGTTTACATCGGACGACTCGCCTGCTAGCTTGTCAACTTTTCATATCAAAAAATCTGATAACCAATGTAAAAAAAGTTACAGTTGTTCTCAAACCATGAGCGAAATCAAAACTGAACTATATAGAAAGATGAATATAAATATATTATAAAATAAATTCACGATGTGCTAATTTTCAAAAGTTACCTGTCGAAACGACGGCAAGGTAACCGGAAAAGGTAGCGAATCAAGCCGCGCTCAAGCAGCTATGGGAACCAGCGAAAGTGACAGGCAGCGCTTGTATTTTAAGTTTACCCCGATCTTAAATTCAAAGATAAAGCGGTAAAAGTAATAAAGGCTGTAGTAAAGCTTAAGGTTTTTGCTCGGTCACGCCGCGTTCATATTTAAGTCGTAATAGCTACGCTCCGAATGGATTAAATACTTTCGAATAGTTTAATACTCTCAATCCACCACTGGGCAGAAAGCAATATGATTACGAAAAATCTATTGTAAAATCTTTTGTAAATCTAAGGTTTTCGCTTCTATTACCTACACCTGCGTCATTGGAACACGTAATTATCGTTATAATTGTTATTACATGTGATTATTAACATCAATCTGTTATTGGAATTAGAATAGAATTTAAAATTTATTTTACAACTTCCATAAATATCGTGACTGATTTAAACAAATTACAAAGGTGTAATATTTAAATTAATGTAAAACGTACGAACATAAAATAAGGAAAGTTGGCTAGACTGCGCCCGAGTGTAGTCGTAAGTTTAGTTGAATGTGTTTTTTTTTTTATTTCGCAGCGGGAGATAGAAGCGAGGCATGCACCGCGACGCTGTACAGTTAACCAGTTAAGTTTATAACGTTATAAGCGGCTGCCTCTAACAACTCGGAGTACGGAACCGCGACACATAATACCGCGATGACCATCTACTTGCTCTACCGTTGCCCGAGCCTTTGTTCCATAATCTGTATGTACGTCTTAGCGCCGGATGAAAGTGACCAACGCAAGCGGACAGCTGTTATGAGGAACACCCCTGCTAAATACAGCAATGAGATTACAAGACAAGTGAGCGCTGCAACGCCATTGAACGGCAACAAGATCGAAGAGTGAAAACGTGGCGTGCTGTTTCACCAGCTTTTTGCGGGTCATAAGCCAACGGGGCCATTATTCTGCGCTTCCCAGGCTCAAATCGAAATAGAAAATAGATAATTGATCGGTCGCTGGCTGCAATCGCGTTTGTATCGTAACAACTACGATATAACCATCTATAACATCGATGGAAAATGTAATTTCTCTACAGTACCCTCTATTTTTATATCAACGTTCTTAAGATTTTGGATCTTATAATTTTTTAATTGCTTATTAGAGAAAAATGGGTAACAATGTAAGATATCACTCTATCCTCTAGTTTTATATGGATATCTCAATAAAACCTCCCGACATGTACATAACGACATGTGCTGTTAATTTTATTGGTATTTGGGTGTTGCTTATTCATTCGGAACTAATTCAACATTATTCAACAGAAAGTGAAACGATATTCATCTAACCGTTGGCAGTGACTCATGCACATATGTCATTCGATACGCTGTACACTCACTATTTCTATTTTACATGATAAAACGTTACGGCTTCAGTTTGAACAACTGCTTTCGTGAAGTTAAACGAAACTTATACATGTAAACGTATAGAAATATGAAAAAAAAAATATTATATATTTTATATTTATTAAACATACATGCATCGTAAATATTTACTTATGGTAATCAACATCAAAAATTCAATTAATGCGCGTAAAAGTTGCTACTGCACATTTAAACGAAATGAACAAAGCTGTAAGGTGACGAATGACGCGCTTCATAAATATTGTGCGACACGCTCAATGGGATTCCGAGTCGAGACTAGCGTTTCGCGCGTCTTTGCGTTATTGTGACGGTCATGGTGATAGCATACGAGGGTCAGGATTAAGACGCAACATTTTCAAGCATTGTTTTACAAGCGACTGTCAAGTGTAACGTCTGGTTTTCTCCAAGCGGCCTGGGCCGATGTTTACGGTGCGGTTTTTGCGCACCAACATTGACTGACGGCACACATTGCGTGCAAGCACACGTAGCCGCTCGATTTCATATTTTCATCTTACACGTAACACTATTCCATATTTATTGCGTCGCTTCGTGTTGCGTTCGTCTGTCTGTAGCGCTCCCTGGGCTTTACTGGGGCTGTTGATGACACTGGATGCCCTTTGCTACATGTCACTAAATCTATCTTATCTAGATTCGACCTAATTTCAACGGCCCAAAGCTTTATATTAAGAAAAATTAATCCTTGAATGGAAACGTATTTGTCTCGACCACCATATACAGATACGAGTTAAGACCTTATAAGTAAACAAGTTTCAATGTGTGAGTTCGCAATGCAATCTTAATGGAGAGACGGGTGAACTCGCGCGACGATAACACCACTCGGCCTGCCATTTTAATATTGCATAAAAAGTATCGAATTTGGGTCGAACCCGCGACGCGACTATTTTAGCCTCGGCTCTTTTACTGCTACGTGAGTTCACCGGTCGCATTTGTTCATTTTCAACGCAATTCGCTTCGAAGTTTCAAAAACAAGAAAGGGGAACATTAGATCTACGAGCGAGGACAGTGAGATCATTCCTCTAAATCTTGGCAATGGGAGGAGCGAGTGCGGAGATATACGGGTGCACATTCCTGTGTACCGGCGAGAGGCGCTAGCCCGCCGCCCGCCGCCCACGCGACCCAGAATAGCCGCACTACCTCGCTCGCGGTGGTAAATCGCTATGCACAAATAAAGTTACGCACCAGGAAGAAACCAAAGGAGACGGCTGACCGCCGCCCGCACATCGCACCGCCCCGCTGCCACCGGCGAGGGTTGAAATGATCCACAAAAAGTAGGCAAATTTCGCAATGGCCGTGTTAGTTATGGAGTAGCGATAGGGTTACATGCGGTATATAGGATTAGAATAGAGGCTGTACTAACATCGTTGCTGCGTGAGCATCTGGTGCGTGTAGTGGTGCTCGGTGCGTTGCACGCGCTCCTGCTGCTGCACCAGGTGTTCACGCCGCTCGCTGTGCTGCTCGGTGCGCTGCTCGGAGCGCTGCTCGGAACGCTGCTCGGAGCGCTGCTCCGACCACCTGGACTGCTTCTCCATCACGCCGCCACAGCAGCACAACGCACAAAAAATCGAACTCTCACTCGACGCTACAGTTCCTTATCGTTCGGACAACGTTCGCTGCGCCGTTCGCCCGCTATATAACGATTACGCGACTGCGGAAAACTTATACTAGTGCACGGGTTCATTTAGCAGAAGTCAAGTCATTATAGCCCAAATCCAACAACCAAGACGTCGGTCGATTGCGAATAGTTAGCGGATAGTGGCGAGGCGGCGGTGCGCCGGTTGCGCGCGCGCCTCGATGCGGCGGGGGGCGTGCGACCGAAATACGACGGGTTATTTCGAGAGCGCGCCTCCCGCGTGCCTCCGCCGAGCGCGCCATCCCCGTATACTTCCCGCCGGCGAGCGAAATCGCCAACGCTGCCGCGGCAAAATCGGACACCGAGTCCCAATCGCGGTGGCCATAAGGCTCATTATCTCCCAAAACTTTTACTAAGCCTCGATGGATCTACTGAAATATGTTGTCCATACACTGAAACATAATTCCTTAATTTACTTTGGGGGTAAAGTCAAATAAAAAATAGCCAGCCACTTTGTTTTCAATCCGTGAAAAGTAAAAGAAGCCTAACACTGCAAAAAATGAGTTTGCGTAAATTTTTAAATGAATTACACGTAAGAATTATTAAAAACTCTAAACATAAATATTTAAATATACTTATTTATTTCTTTTCTTGCAATTTAAACCGATAAGCAATAGTTTAGAGTAATCATTTTTTTTTATATTTTATGGAGTTTTAATTTTGTAATGCACGAGATTTGTTTGGTTATCAAAATTTTATTTAGCTCCTTCTAATAAGTTCCTGGTAGATTATATTTTTTTTAATTATTTTTTCCACTATGAATACCGAACAGTCGTAAAGGTGGAAAGTAAAAACAAAGTCCTTCAGAAACAAACTTCGCATTCTTGCAACATGCCATGCATTGGCGTATCTAGAATTATTTTCAGGGTGGGCCTGGGCTTTTACTATACGTCGCATGAGCACATGCGCGGCCCTGCCCACAGCGGAGGGCCCAAACCCGTGGGTTCTGGCTAGCCCACCGGTTCTGCGTCAGATGAAGCTTTAATAGTCTCGGGACTGAATGCAAAAACATCAGTTAATACAAGATACAAGATACTATACGTCGCATTAAAAAAGTAACACTTTGTTATCGTTAGTAATTTTTATTAATTTATAATAGTAGTATTAACTAATTAGTTGTTAGTACGTTGTATCTTCACAAGTAAATAAACGGAATGTGAAAACTATGTACACAGATGTACATAGATTTCTTGGCTGTAGATAATTATTTGATTTCAATGAATTTTATGAAGATTCTTAGGTATCCAGCCTAGAATTGCGAATCAGTAACCTTAAATCCTGGGGTGGGCACTAGATAATACTGGGGTGGGCATGGCCCATCCGGCCCACCTGCTATATACGCCTATGATGCCATGGCATGTCGAAAATTAATTTGCACAATTTTCAAACAGTTTCTTAAATTTTCATATACATAGTATCGAATAATTCAAACAAGATGTTTAAAAAATTCATGGCCGAGCACAATAACATAATATTTAACATTGACATTTGACTTGAAGTCAATCTTGTACAAAGTGGAGAAACGAAATCGCAGATTTCAATTAATTAGCGATATAACGGTGGAAGGAAGGAATAACGCCAAAGAAATTATTTTCCTTAATCAGATCTTCTTCTTCCTATATTAAAGACTTCCACAGAAATTGAATGAAATACCCGACTCGAAAATCACTAAGTTATACACAATTATGTCTTCATTTTAAAATCAAATTAGATTATATAACACTCGAAATTCAATTGCTCGCTACTCTAACCACTAAGGCATGCGAACAACTGTTTAAATAAAAAATGATGAACATATAAAACTATAAAACAAAACAACACAGCTTTTAAAGATACAATATTAAAGAGATTTAATAGATTGCTAGTAGCGCCATCTAGCGTGCGTTGAGCATGACAATACTGCTGAGCTACCAAGAATAAATCTCAATATCGTGAAAAAAAGTAACGAAATAAGAGATTATTTAATTAATTAAACATTTTGGCTTACACTTTTCTCGTAACTTAAATGAAAAACCACTTGTTGTCAGTCTGGATGTTTTTAATAACTCGTCCCAAACTGGCATTTCTTCGAAATGACTGTAAATATTAAACAAGCATGTTCATCGCGTTGTTTTTAAACGTATTGAAGGATTTATGTGCTGTGCCAATGAAACAGATTCGGCGCGTCCTTGTTATACGAATTGGTAATCTTTAAACAAAAAAGTAGATTTAGTTCAATGATCATGTTCGTATGTTACTACAAAATACCAAAGAACGGCATTACATCCCCGTCTATCTTTTTTAACAGTACGTAACGTCTTTTTAACAGTGGGCAAAGCATCTGCAACCCAATACTGTAGATATCCATGGGCACCACTGCGCTCACCAACTTAAGACATAAATTATATACTTAAAAAAACCACGTCTATCAGTTAATTTATTCGAGAAATATGGGAGACTATAAAATATTTTTATCTAATATCTTCAAAAAGACTGAACCAATGGATTCCAAATTATGTTTAATTGTAGAACTCGATAAGAGTGTCGATTCTCGTACTAAACTCATAATCTGTTAATCTATTTACAAGGTAAGGTTCATTTTCCTTTTAATATACCATATGTTACAAAAATAATTTCAGATCTTTAAAACCGTAGCTTTTTTATAATAGTTTTATCGGTTTGTTAACGTCACCATACACCAAAATAGTTGATTGCTACGGGCGACCGGCCAATAAAGTGGTGACTACAGTTTTTGGGATGTACGTGGGGTAATCTATGAATTAACAATATGTTGTTAGACCGATTAAAGAAGGATAAAACCATTAATTGCGATTATTATGCCTCTTTTTATTTTACTGACATGCACTGAAATGATGAATCGTCTCAATGGTATGTGCAACGCCACCTAGTGACATTATGCGGAAACAGCATGCAACGCCATGTATCAAATATTGTGTTGTATAGGGGTTAATTTTTTTTTTTTTTTTGTAAAGCGAAAAAAGCTTATGCCGTTGCTGAATAAGCAGGCTCAAATCGGACAAGTGCGTCCTCCCAAGATGATCGGCGTAAATTAAAAGTATTCATACTTTTGCCTTTCATCCAATGAGTAAGGATGCCAGAGGCAAACCCTCTTCCGCCAAAAACATACTGGCGGTGTTAAAAAATCCTATCCTAGGGGAGCATCACTACCAGTGGTTCTGGAGAATCCCTCACATCTGCACTCTCCACTCAATGCGGTCAGGACTTGGAGTAAAGAAACTAAGCATGTTCTCGAAATATTACTTCTCTTAGCTTCGCGCAGTGTTTCATCACCACCTATCGCGTGGTGAATCGGCACTTCAATTTTCAGACTAATATATAATTTGTGCACGGTAAAGAGAATTTTACATAACCACTCTGTGTTACTGTGTAAAAGTTTATGCGTCAAACCATCTCAAAGACTGGAAAATTATGTATAAATTAATACATATCATTACATATTTTAATTTTGTGTGTGACGGACATGGTGATATTCTGTATGTAGAGTATTTGCCAAAACTTACAAAATAAAAAAAGCTTTAAAGCGATACAAAAAAATGGCAATGGACATAAATTTCTATGTATGGGAGAATAATTCATTATATCATCTAATTCTTTATACATATAATTAGTTATCCTTTCTGTTGCAAATGAGCTATAATGGCATCCTACAGCTTATCCTCAATATCTCGCTAAGAATTAGCTCAAATATAAGCAATATTTAAAAGCATATCTCTATTCACGAGCTCCTTCTAGAAATGTCGCATGCTTCACTGGAAGAAAGAGTAGCATGATACTTGCTAATATTGATTCATCCAGAATGTCGCTGTAAGCGGACGGAATTATTCTTAAATGTAATCGCAAGATCAGTCACGTACATGACGCATTTGCAAGTTATTTTCAGACCAATGTGCATTGGAGGGGTGTGAAATATGCGCTGCAACACTGAATAACAAAGGATATGCAATATTCACTGCGATGGAATACAGATAGTTTTGCTACAAGTTAATATCGCGACGACGGAAGACTCAATCTATTCAAAACTGTTATCAACGTTACAGGAATTTAATAACCTGATTCGTATTTACTATGAAATTACCAAAACCCCGGAAGCAGCAATGGTTTTGTGCAGGCATACTTTAAACCAGTGATTCCCAAAGTGGTCTATATCGACCCCAAGGGTCTATGACCTTACATCATACTATCTTATAATATCAAAAGATATACATTATTTATAAAAGTACCTATGAAGTAAAATAAATATTATATATGTTTATAAAATTGTGTAAGTTGTAGGATGTTGGTATTCGCTTTGTGGTCGCAATACATTTTGAACTTGTAAAAACCTGAGAGTCGCAGTCTCAGAGCTTCGCTACCTTGCACTGCCTTGCTCAATTCGTCACTGTATAAATACGAATGTGGGACAAATATGTTTATTCGTTTCCTGAATCTTGAAAAGGAAAGTGCTAAGAAAATATTTTAAAAAATATTTATTTTACAACATTAAATAACAGATACAAAATTTTATTTTGAGTAGTTTTAATTTAAATTCAATTAATAAATGTATAAATTAACATGTATTTTTACTTTAAGTTTTTAACACTAAACTTCACTACAGTTAGAAATTTGTCTGTCCAACACGGAAAAACATGGCAAGGGGTCTACGACACATAAAAGTTTGGGGAACTCTGGTTTAAACGAAGAACTTAAAGCTATAGTTCCTCGCGAAGTATTCCAGTGCCTGTATGAATCTGTTCATTAAATTTTTTTGCTTGTATAAAAATTAAACAATTTCAGTTTCTTTTTTCTCTATGAATCAGGTTCATTACTCATTTTCATCTGCTCCCATCATGTTATCATTAGATAGTCGTTTTCTTTTGCAGAAGCAAGGTTTTTAAGAGCCTCAGTTAATTAACTATTACAGGATAACTAAAAACTATTGCTTATGTGTGAATCCAGCCTCGATTAGCTTCTAAATATCTCTCGAATTCGTCCGTTCGTTGCAATATGAAGACGAAACAAGCACATTTCGTCTTAAAATGTCAGTATGTACATTCTATTCAATTTTGAGGAGTTCCCAGAGTTCAATTCAATTTAGACATCAAACTCATTTTCATAATTTTGAAATTTGATATATTTTTGATGTTTGACACATTACTACAGGCAGATTTATCAACTAATTTATTGTGTTAATTTCATGTCCCCATCAAACCTCAAGATGTTAATTTAATTTTGCTTCTACGAACGTATATAAAAAATCACTGTCATCATATTTCCAAAAGAAGCGTGCCAAAGTAAGCATAACTTCGAAACTTCGCTATTTTAACGTTACATTGGGACAAATAGAGAAATATCATGATTTCCAAATACTTAATTATTTGTAAGACGCTTCATTTGCTTTTGATATGTGACTTGTGTAACGTATTCAATTAATACACATTTTGCTGTATATTTGATATGATATAAGTTGTATTTATTATTTTTGAAATTCTTTTCTTGCGCGCGCATACCGACAGCCAGAAAGCAACATGATCAAATTGGTTGCAAAGCGACCCACTTCACGGTATTATATGGTAACCGATAACAACTTTTTGATATTTACCTATAATTCCAAATAATTTCTTGTCTTTTGTTTTGTGTTATCAATTGCATTTACGCTTTAAAAATTTAAAATTGATTAGTCTATCAATCACTATGCCTCACTTTACATGTGTACATATCACAAGTAGGTTAATTCATATACGATTAACAGAAATCTAAAACGGATTCTAATGGGATCGTAGAATGTGTCTCATTCTGTTCGTAGTAAACAACATTTCTGATTAATAATTAACCACATGCGTCGTATCGCGAGAGAAACTTAACTCAATCGAAAGTGAAGTTTGTATCTAGGCAACGGTGTGCTTTGAAAACACATTTTGCCCCATTTATTCACCATCACATTATAAAATAAAGCTAAACGGATGTTGGATAACGCCCGCCAAGTCCCGCCTGTAGGTGGTCGATATTTTCGGCGGGAAACAGAAAAACAAGATAGCGTCGCCCACGAGCGAGCGCTGAAATCAACCAATGCTGACTACAACCTGTTGGTATTCAGTGAGTAACCACTTTGCGCAATACAGGTAAATTATTTTTGGAACCATGCACCAGATTCGGCCCACTGCATAAACACTTAAGGCTCACAATCGTTAAACACATCTGTTACTATTTTCGTGCCTCAGTTGGTCTGAAACTTCAGATGGGTCATTTCTTTCTAAAACACATTTTTCTTAGATAGATGTACTAGGAATAGTGTTAAGACAAAGCGGAAGGTAAGTATCGGTTGCTCATTTCTTTTTTATCACGTACGTGAACGTTATTTGGCGAGTTTGATGGATTTAAGTCGGACAAACAACATCGACGCCTTTATCGTCAGAAACTCTTGAATAATATATATATAGGTGTAATAATCTATTATTTTTTAAAACGGGTGACAAGAGAAAGTAATTACATTTCGCGGTAAACGAGAAAGCTTTTTTGGATGACTGATTTGATATCGTTTTATTACTGACGATCGCTCACGAAACTTCAAAGATCAAAATGTAAACTTTAACATTTGTGCATTGTCTTTAATATGTGTGCGGTCTCCCGGGAAATATACCGCCTTCTATCATGTATTACTGATTTATGACTCTTCATCTATATCACCGCATAAATCGCTTCAAGCCGGCTTGCACCTAAGATGATTTTTTTCACGAGTCGGAAGGGTCTTTCAGAGTTCAATGCTTGTGTAATACGATTCGCAAGCGTTTATGTTTAGCGGATTTAATATAGATCTGCTTTTATTAATACACACCTCACCTAGTGACTGGCCGTATCATACAATTCGCGTCTACCTGAACAAGCGGCGTGCGAGCCAACCATTCCTAAATAAAGCCTGAGTAAAAATACACGATCTCCAGTTTCTGCTTCTGCGATTAGAACGAACTCTTGATTTGCATAATGCCGAAATTATTATTCGCGATTTCCAGAAGTTAAACCTAACAGCCATTAGGTCGACCGAGTAAAGAAGCAAATGGAAAAATTTAACGACCTCAAAGGTATATCATCCCTCTTTTTATACAAAGTGCTTATGATATCAATTTATTACATTCACGCCCATAGAACCAGAGCAGTATCAATTTAAATTAAATTAGATTACAAATTTAAAGAAGATAAACATTTATCGTAAGTCTTGAAATTTTAACCGGGTGTACATACCGTATATATGCATACATGGGATTCAACTCAAAACATAATATTGGGCACTGGGCAACGGCCAAATATCTAGTCGTAAATAAAAAGTGTGTAATCGATGAGTAAGTAGTTCTTTGTACAGTCTGAATGGTCGTTTATTTTGAAATATATCCGTAATTAGCATTTTTGTACGGTGGTAAAGAGTTATTTTTAAAATACGTCTACAGGTACATAATTATCTTATTTCTTCATTTAATTAATTCCTAAGGTCAGTGAAGATTTGTTTAGTGTTTAGGAAAATACGGTCCACCATAAATAAGTTTTTTAAAGGCCATTTTGATCTCATTCTTCAATTCATATACTTTTACTCACAGATTTCTTTGATTATAATCATCTGTTAAGTTTGTAGAATTACCCGTATCAATAATTTTCGAGGTCGGTGTCAAGCCGAGTATCTCTGATCTGGGCATAAAATCATTCTTTTAACTTTGTTACAGAATTTAGGTGGATTAGATACCTACATAATTAAATTAGATTAGATAACCACAGTATTAATTGTAGCTTAGCTTCTTTCTATTTTTTTAGCAAGTTGTTATGGTGTATGATGTAAACTTCTTACTTGAAACTAGCAGCCATAAGCTAAAATTAATAGTAAAATTAGTTTGGTTACATTGACAAAGACACTAACAAAACAGATTGACAATGACATAAGCTTATGGCTGCTAGTTTCAAGTAAGAAGTTTACATCATACACCATAACTTGCTAAAAAAATAGAAAGATTTCAGTGTACAACCATTACCCATGGTGAACAAAGGCACAGACTGCAAAAATTGTTAAATCATGTTAGAGGTTAGGTAGATTTTCAAGATTTGATTATATTACATTTAGATTTGTAATAAACTTTTAGTACTTATACTGCATTTTGAAGTTGTTTCTGTTTTTTTAAGTGTTTGTTATATTATTTTTAATTTTAATGGTTTAATCTTAATACTAAGTATTGTAAAATACGGGTCGATCTAGAAAAGACGCAAC